AGCTAAGTGCAACGGCGGGTGAGAAACTAATTATAACGCTAAAACTGTGTAGTGAGACAACAATCGTGCTGTGCACCTACGAAATATTTTTTAACGCAACTACATGTTTCTTCTGCTTACAAAGATCAGGCTTATGCAAACGAATACAAACAGCCTCAAGTACTTTCAACTGACTAGCATACCGTGCACGACAAAGAACAGAAAAACTTAAGTCATCATACACCTGCAGACACTTAGGGTGAGACAACAAGTGAAGAAAAACGGCAGACTTCTTACGATACCAACCACCATCTGATTCCTCGTCTCCAACAACCGCAACCTCGTCCTCCGTCTCATCTCCCAACTCGTCCTCAGTGTCATCCTCAGTGTCATTCTCCTCATCAACACCGATCGGTCCCAGGCTCGCTTCATGTTTTACCTCTGTTCGTTGACTCCTCCTTTGATCTTGATGGTAAATTGTTACCGTTGTTGTTGTTGTTGTTGTTGTTGTTGTTGTTGTTGTTGTTGTTCCTGTTGTTAAATCTTGTGTTCCCAGTGTCCTCGCTGGTGTTTGACCTCCAGTACTGTAATATTGAACGAGAGAGCTTGGAAGCTCAGGGCCCTACGCTATGCTTTTTTGCCTTGATGACCTAGACAAAAAAAGCATAGGGATGTTATAAATTCTTTAAAAAAATCGATTCGAACCCGAACCCGCACTATCGCGCGCCCTCATGCATCCCCCGATACACTTCGCATACATACTAATTCTTCCAAGTTGTTTCACATTGTGATCTTGCATTTGAAAGCCCTATTTGAATATGCATTGTGGCCAGCCGTCTTTGATGGCACGGTACGGTAGGGGATAGGTACGGGACAGGTACGATAGAGGGTAATACGACACCGTCTAGCTGCCCGCAATATTCAAATAGGGCTTTCAAACGCAAGATAATAACGTGAAGCAACTTGGAAGAATGGGTATGAATGCGAAGTGTATGGGGGAATGCATGTAGGGCGATAGTGCGGGTTCGAATCCCAGGATATGCCTGAAACAAAATAGGAGAATTGAAAAATTTATAACATCCTATGTTTTTTGCCGTCAGATACGGATAGCGCCAGGCGTGACACAAACAAACACACAAACAAACAAATACCAAATTAAAGCTGTGTGGACCCTGGCTAGCGCCAGCCGTTACTGAAGTAACGTCTTCTGCATAGCTACGGGAATAATTAGCCGTTGATCGTCTAGGTCTTTGAATGTTGATTGTGTTACTTTCTTTGTTGAATTCCGTTCCCTTCAGCCTTCTCGTTGTTCACGTTCAGTGCTTGCCTCATCCATATATGCATGTGCCACCGACACCACAGACTCAGCCCCAGCACTGCCGATGATAGATGTAGGTGGCGGTTCTGGGGGAGGCAACGGCAAAGACGGCGATGAGGGCATCACCTCATCACAGCGTCCACTTTGGTCTTGAGCTGAATGTTGTTGTGGTGTGTTATCTTGTGTTGTTATGGTGCATTGTGTTGTGGTGACAATATGCCCATTATCCGACTCCAAGGCTCTCGATACGGGTAATGGAGGCACTATTGCCGATGACGGCAATTGTGCTAATGATGGCTGTGGCCGAGGGTTCTTCGGTGGCCTGCCGCGTTTGGGCCGCAGTGCCCGTGCCGAGCCAGTCAGCATATGCAGTGGGACGTGCTGCTTGATACGTGCGTCCAGATGTTGAAGAGTCCTACCAACGTACCGACTACCGCATTGTCGGCACTCAAATTGGTATACCAATTTAGATGCAAGTTGGGTTGGTAGGACATCCTTCCTCACCGTGAACGCACGTACAGTTGTGAAAACGGGTACAAAATGTACCGCGTAGTATGTTTGCTGTACAATTTTCCGCACCACGCGACTCATGGATAATGAGAGGTTACCTTTCCAAGGGAGAGAAAGATATGTGGGACATTAGTCCGGGCCAAAACGTATTTCCTTTTTATGCAGCCTTTCGCTCACGAGTTCCTTCAATAGATCGGCGGGGTACCCGTCTTTAGAAAAACGGACTTTAGGAAGTCCAGTTCCTCAGCTAGTTTGGAAGAGGAGCAAATACGCTTTGCTCGATCCACCAAGTTACACACCAAATTCACCTTGTATTGGTACGCACAATACGAGTCAAACATTATGTACTGGCCGGTGAATGTAGGCTTTCTGTACACAGATGTTACGGTACCCTGACTAGACTTTTCCACAAGGACGTCTAGAAAGGGAAGTTGGTTCGCTTGTTCGTGTTCACACGTAAAACGTATGGAAGGATGTAGGTCATTTAGAATACAAAGAAAGATTTCTTGATCTTCAAGAGAATCAAACCAGGTGAAGGAATCCTCAACAAAACGAACGTACAATGCTGGCCACAACTGTTCTGCAATCAGTGACTCGCAGTAACCAACGAACACTTTCGCTTATACTGGACCTAATAGAGAGCCCATGGCTACCCCATCAACCTGCCTGTACATAATGTCACCGAAGGAAAACTCCACACCAGTCGTCACGAGCAACATCAGTTCACGGAACGCCGTCTCCGATATCCATGGCGTGTCAACTTCATCATTTCGGTACAACACATCTAGGCAAATATTGGTAGTATCTTCTAACGGGACGTTCGTGAACAGACTCACAACATCAAACGAGCACATATGCGCGGAGGCCGGAACCGGGTGGGAGCGAAGGACGTCAATGAATTCGAAGGTGTCTTTAACTGTATGTTTGCAATAGAACGTTTGCACGATGTCAAGCCAACCACACAACCATTTAGAGATATTATATTGCGGTGATGCAACCATGGATAATATGGGGCGCAACGGACAGTTCGGTTTATGTATTTTTGGTAGCCCATAGAGACGTGGCCGGACGGAACCAATGGGCCGCATTTTGAAGAACTCTTCCTCCGATATCTGTTTACTTTCTTTTTAAAGTTTCTTGAGAAAACTATTCAACTTTTTCTCTACTCAACTGTGTTGTCATGAGTAGATACCGGACTGAGTTGGACAAACTTACTCGTGTCCTCAAGGATGACCGCCATTTTCGTATTGTACTCTTGTGTGCTGATAATAACTGTAGCTCGACCCTTGTCTGGTCTTGTGATTCTAATATCAATGTTGTTCGTAAGATGACGTCGAGCCTTAAGGTGTACTCTGGATAATGAAAATGTGCTTCGGTCTGGAGGTTTTTCGGCGTGTTCTTCGGCGATGGCTCTAAGATTAGCCGTACAGATAGCACGCTGATTTTCAGACACTGGTGTAAAATTCTTAATGAGCTTTTTGTGAACATTTCGAACTGCGTAAGAACTATTTCCTTTCTGTTGTTAGAAGGAGGAATACCAAACTCCGCTCCCCGGCACAGTAATTCCTTTTGCACAGGGGATAGTTTGGTGTTGGCCAGATTAATAATCGTGTCCATGTTGGGCTTAAAGGAGCCATACCGCTTTGCACGCAGCCATTTGATGTTTTTCTCGTACTTGGCGAGGAGTTTGACTTGCTGCTTGCTGTCATTCTCGGCCAGTAGTGTACTGAATCTGAGGTAGTCGTGATAGGAAAGGAACGAACGAGCCGAACTATACAGACGTTTAAATTGAGACTGAACAGAACATAATGTGTCACTAGAGCGCGCAATGTCGTCTTTGAGGAATACTCTTTCTATTGCTAATGAGTGATATGCACGGGCTTTGTGCACCCGATTCTGGATGGAAGTAGGGCACACTCCATTTTCCTTACAGCGCTTCAAAAAGATAATATTATGTGAAATGTTTCTAGCCAAGTAGCGTTTGCGCAGAGCATCATTCAGGATTTCAACCTGACTCTTATCTCCGTTTAAAATATGCAAATAATCGACGTGGAGACAACAATTTTATAATAGCAATAACGAGAACAAATTCTGCAGTCATTGCCACACTACAACGAAGTCATGAAAGTTTACCAGAATTAATTTTCTTGTCACATTCATCAGTGGAAAGTCGTGACTGAAGAGTAACCATGCTGAACAATGATCAAATATACATTCAATGATGTGTTACGAGAACAAAATACAGTGCCAAAATAGAATGAGGGAAGGCGAGACAATAGAAGTGAAGTGAGAGCTAATTATAACGCTAAAACTGTGTAGTGAGACAAACAATTTTAATGCAACTACATGTTTCTTCTGCTCACGGTATGCTAGTCAGTTGAAAGTACAGTCAAATCTGCTGTTAGCGACCTCTGCTGTAGGCGACCATCTACCGTTAGCGACCGATTTTCCGTGCACCGACGGTTTCACATACAAACTGATCTGTCCAGAGCGACCATCTGCTGTGCGCGACCAGCGACCGCGATTTCATGCACGGTGGCTGCATTCAAATCTGCTGTAAGCGACCGCGACCCAGGTTCAGTAAGGACTAAGGTGCGAAACTGTACTTGCCAGTGCGCTGTCAACTGCAAAGTGTGAAAATGCGCTGTCTTGCAAGTGCGATCGACTGGCGCCTAGCCTGTACTGAGGCTGTGCTGTAGCTCTAGCTCTCAAGTCCAGGCAGTGTCGATCTACTGCCATATCGCATACGCGTACTATACGGGTATGGTCGTCGTTGAATATCCAATAAAAATGATATTAAAAATCACATTATTCTCGTCGATTTGAGTACATGGAAGCATATACCTGGTATGCCGGATTTACCATACATCTGCCGTAGGAGACCATCTGCCGTAAGCGACCGCTTTTTCTTGCACCAAGGGGCGGTCGCTTACGACAGATTTGACTGTACTTTGTTCTCGTAACACATCATTGAATGTATATTTAATCATTGTTCAGCATGGTTACTCTTCAGTGACGACTTTCCACTGAATGTGACAAGAAAATTAATTCTGGTAAACTTTCATGACTTCGTTGTAGTGTGGCGATGACTGCAGAATTTGTTCTCTTTATTGCTATTATAAAATTGTTGTCTCCACGTCGATTATGTGCATAGTTATGGTATTCTTTTTGTTATGTTGTGTGTAATGCCCAGACATGTCAACAAGCATGAAGAGCAACTCAACAGCAATGTCATCAACTGACGGTTATGGTGAGTGACTAAGAAATAACTCGTGATGGAGCTCACATTGATAGAAAATTAGAAATCTCAAAACAAGCGACCTGTGTCGGAGAAAAAAATAAAAATAATGAAAATAATTCGAAAGCATGTGAACAGTGTTCAGTTATTCGCCTGGCACTGAGAATACAGTGTGACCAGCCAGTCTACTGAATGGTGCTGAAAGGGCACAAAGCCTTTCAGCTGGTCAGTGAAAAGGCTGTGCGGTGTGACCACGGCCGTACGCAGAGGTTGTCCTTTCGGAAAATAATTCTATACTTGTATATACTGCCTTGCACATTTGTGCATTGAGCACTATGCTTCGAGCTGACTCGACCGGCCTTGTTTGTGTTAAAATTCTATACTGGGATATTCTTAAGTTTGAGGGAGCTGAATTGGGAAATTTTACTAATGTACGAAGAAAAACTTGACTGCCACCTCTAGAACCCAAACCACGGACCCTCGCTTGTAGCCAGTGATGCTCGACCATTACGCGATGGTGCAGTCGTCATCCTAGCAGCGACCGTTCAAAATTTCCTTCAGACTTCGTAACGCACACTTCCCTCGAGTCCACACAGGCTGGTAGGTCGCAGCTCCCACTGTAACCATGGTAACCCACACACGTATAACCTACAGGAGTGTCGGAATGTAGACTAGGTTGGTACGGTCAGCTACCTGAACAAATTACTCGTGGGGTTGGGGTGGTTCCTCTGAAAAATTTGCATATTTAGAGCCAGAATCAGCTCATTTAATTGATTCCCGGGGTATCTGGGGCGAAAAGTGGTAAGTTGCTCAAGACCGTAGTGACCGTAGCGTGTACGACACCTGAACTAACATAGCGCACGGGGATCCCAATGCCTGACATAGTCAGGAGTTTGAAGGAGTTGAAACGGGAAAAGTCTGAAAATTGAACCAGAGGTGTACTAAACGATGCTTGTGTGATTGTTGAGGAAACGGTTGAAAACGGATCACTCAGAGCTAGAGAATGCCCAATCGCAATTCCAGAGAGCAAGAAGACTATATTCAATTCATACAAAGCTCTAGACTGCAAGCCACACTGTACTTACGATGGCTGGGGTGGTAAAACGTTGTAGTGATAGCTTGAATAGCCGGACATCGGTCCTACTGGTAGGCATCATACACAGACATGCTGCACGGGCTCTGTTCTAGCATTCATTTTTACAGTGGCTTCCCCAAGAAGGAATCACCATAAATATTTTATGAAATGCGAGAGCATTTGACATGATGCTTCAGTCCGTAAGAATGGAGCTTCTCAACTCCACATCAGAACATCAATACTATCTGCAGTAGCGGACTTGGTTAAGAAGTATGTACATGGGTAGTAGAAGCCGGAATATAACGATTTTTAATGAAATTGTGGCAAGGTCACCTTATTCTTCATTCCCATGCTGTACAGAGCCAATGAAGCCTTCTTCTGGTCCAGGAGACGTTTCTTTCTCTTGACCAATCTCTTGTAGATTTTGATGTCTCATCTCTTGTAGATTTTGATGTCTCATCTCTTGTAGATTTTGATGTCTCATCTCTTGTAGATTTTGATGTCTCATCTCTTGTAGATTTTGATGTCTCATCTCTTGTAGATTTTGATGTCTCATCTCTTGTAGATTTTGATGTCTCATCTCTTGTAGATTTTGATGTCTCATCTCTTGTAGATTTTGGTCCTACCAGCCAGTTTTCGGTGTTGAATAATTGGGGTGATTCAAGAGCGTCCTGCTCGGGTGGGAAACGAAGCATATCTCGCATTCCTTCATGCATAATAGCTGGGTGAGCATGTTGCTGCATGCACTACATCATAATAGTGAAATCGCTCCTTTCTCTTTACTCTACTCGCCCTGGAGCAGCTGCTTCACATGGGAAAGTAATTTCCATCCGTCCGTCGACGAGCTTTGGAGATTCTAGAACAAGGCGCTGCTCGTTCTTGTCAGAGCTCTGCGACTTTGACAATGCTCCGCTTATGTCGTGACTGGCAAGAAGGGACTGAATGAAGGACACCTCGTCCTGAACTGAATCCTATTGGGCCTCCGCTTTCTTTTGATTGTAGGTTCTTAGGGATGCCCGGGGAGCCCGCGATACCTAGCAAGGAGCATATGAGTATTGCACGGCGTTCAGGATGGTCTTCGCAACAGAAACCACCCGTGGCCTGTACTTGATTACTTGATTACTTGATTACTTGATTACTTGATTACTTGATTACTTGATTACTTGATTACTTGATTACTTGATTACTTGATTACTTGATTACTTGATTACTTGATTACTTGATTACTGATTAAACATTGAATGCTCTGTACATGTATCATGTGTCCGTAAACAAACAAAACAAAGGTCCTGTGTATGCCAGTGTGCCAGTGCTGATTGGTCCGGCACCTCCCCCCCCCCCCCCCCCGGCCCCCTGCGCGAATCCCTTCTATGGCTATGGCTACATTCATCTGTAGTGCTTGATGTGAAACTTGTTATGTAGTTCATGTAATTAGTAATTTCCTGATGTTTCACTGTGTGTTGTTGCCTTCTCTGCTTGGCGTCACTGCCTAGGTAGCATGTCTGGAGCTATTTTCCAGTGTAGTCCCAGTCCTTGACAGCATGCTAGCATGGTGCCATACCTCTGTGTAGTCCCAGTCCTTGACAGCATGCTAGCATGGTGCCATACCTCTTAGATTCAGCGCATTGCAGCAGTGTCACCAGCCACTTTGCTGGCTCTGGGATCCTGTCTGCCACACCGAGGAGGGTGCTTTCAATGTTGCCATGATCATGGGTGATCAACCACAGTGCGTGATCTCTGGTAAGCAGCTTGTTCTGTTTCATGTCACACTATAACCAGGCAGGCAGGCATTGTGGGATGGTCTAAGACCATGATTGAGAAACAGAGGGTACCAGGTTCAAGTCCTGCTTGGAAGCGGAAGGATTTTTTCCAGCCGTGCTGCGACCCACAGTGGGGACTCGTGGCCTGGAACAAGGGTAACATGGATGCAGCTAGGTACAGGAAAATCCTGTTGCAGAGTACAACTAAGTGTGTGCGGTGTGAGAACCTTAGTGTACTCGTACTAAGTGCAGGTAACACTTTGCACGTTCTGTGTAGAGCCCGCATCCGCTTGAAGGTAAACTGTGTGTGGTTTACGTGTGTGTGTGTGTGTGTGTGTGTGTGTGTGTGTGTGTGTGTGTGTGTGTGTGTGTGGTGTGTAGGGTGCGGGTCGTATGACCTGACCAACACGATTGTGGGGTGCTCTCGTGCTGCTTTACGGTAATATTTTCTCTCGAAAATGCAGCATTCATAAAATTTAATGATGTAGTTTGATCGTGATTTGAAATTGATCTCTGTTTTCTTTATTCTTTGCCTTCAGGCAGGTTGTGACGTTCAGACATTTTAGTAGCACTGCAGTCTGGGTGTCTGGGTAACTATCAGCACAACAATACAGCATGCCACTAAAACCGGAGTACTCTTGGAACAGAAGAACAAATGTTGCCGTGCTGTGCTTCAAGTGACTGGTGAGTCCTATTTGAGCTTACTTTGCGTCACCATGATCACTGTTCGATGAGGTGATCATTTAGCCATTAGGGTGCAGCTCTGCCACATGACTCCTCGCACCAAGTGGCTTCTTATTGCTGGTCTATGACCTTTGAGCTAGGTTACAATTCTCACTGTTTCGAGCGGTGAGGTATAGACACGTAGCTTATGGATATGCACTAAATGCAAACTGCTCACAGGAATTAGTCCGAGGCTTAAAAAACCCCAAGGTTGTTGTGGCAGTACTCTTTTCTCTTTCATTTGAAACAGAGGTTCGAGAGGTAGAAGAGCTTTGACCTTCACGTAAATTCCAAAAAGCCAGATGGTTTGTTGATGTGAACCATAATTAATTTATTTCAAACCAGCCCACTGCTCCGTTTTTCTGTGTCCAGCTCTTTCAAAATTCAAAATGCTGACCTTGAATTTTGAGACTTTTGACTGTTCTTCAGCACAAACTTCACAGCTAGTCTACTTCTAGTGTGAGACCAGGGGGAATTTTAAATGGGTATACAGGGTTCTAGCCAAAGGGGGGGGGGGGGGCACAGCCCCCCCCTCTGTTTGCGCCCCCTCCCCCTGTGAAAAAATGCAGCCCCCTACTCATTTTCCGATTTTTGTGTTTTGTCATGCCATTCAACAATAATGCAGTCGATAGTCTGTACTAGAGGGTTCGTAAAGGCACATTTGTCTGAGGTGAAGTCTGGGGTGAAGTGAGCAGTAGCTACGTGTCATTTGACCTACAGACAGGACACCACCTCCACAGCACCACAACGAAAGGACGAGGTGGTGGGGCGCTTTCTTGTGGTACTTTATGGTGCTAGCATTCAGTACTGCACGGTACTAGTGTTGTACACGTGGCTGCCCTAGTGTCTCTTCGTTGTACACGCGGTTGCGCGTGTAGCTCTTTGACGTACATGCTTTAGTGTCTCTTTGTTGTACATGCAATTTTCATGTTGAACTACAGGTGACTTGCCATGTCCCATAATTAGTTTCATGCAGTAAAAAGTCTCTTCCGATCTCTGTATTTAGGGCGCGTTCGAATTGTCACTCTTTGACTTTTCGAGGAGCTTCGTTTTTCTGAAGAGGTGGCCTTATTGGCCTCTTCAGAAAAACGAAGCTCCTTGAAACTCCTTGAAACTCCTCGAAACTCATCCGATGGGAAGGTGGATTAGTTTCGAAGAGTTTGGAATAGCTACATCACGTAGTACGTGGAGATAGTCGATCTGATCGGACGTCATCATCGCCATGATAATTCCACTGAAAAACTCCTGTGTATACGCCTTAAAAGGTTTTCTGGTATCCAAACTTCCTGTTCCAGAATGTCTTCTTGCTCGTGGTCTTGAAGTGCCTCCCATCTGCTTTGAGAGAGCTTCAGCAACTTCCAGGAAAGGTAGGTTCGTGACTGACGTTTAATAGAATACCGCCAATGCCACGACGCCAGCCAAAGCAGGTAACATGTCAAGTAGTATGGTGACAGGACAAGATGTATCCATAGGATATTCCACGGACTAGGTTTACTATAGCCACCACGAATGTCTAAGCTCTCCTCAACAACTTTCCTTAGAACAGCCTCTTCGTCTTGTCTGATCTCGTCCTTTGACTTTTTCCCCTTGCGAATATTGTCCAAAAGTAAAAGCCCCTGTTCTGTCGCACGCTGCTTTGCCTTGTTACGATACTGTGGGTGACACGGGCGTACTTGATCGCTTCATTGTATCTCTGCCAACCATTCAAGTACTGAAGAATTGAAATGATGGTGATGGATACGGCCACAACAACACGCAAGTCTACCTTGGGTGCAACACGATGGTGGTGCTGTACTGATACACATTGTCGTACATTTCCTCAGGATGATCCAACATGTAGTCCGATAGTCGGTACGCGATTCCTCATCTCACAAGATTTCATAGGCATAGGCATTGGCTAAGCGCTGAAAGACTTCTTCGGCATTGCTGTCCTTGTTCTTATTCGGATGATACTTGCGGACTAGTGATCGGTACGATTTGCGGACTTCAGATGAGGTTGCATCTCATGTGAGCACCAGTACATCAAAGCAATTGTCTCGCCCAGTGAAGTCTTGATGACCAACACCAGAGGACAAAGAGGAAAGGACTTTCAAATCTGTCGTTATGCCGGCAAATGTGCGCTGCCGGACCGGAAGCCGGTAGTAGGTACCCTTGTCCTCCAAAAACACTACAAAACAAGTAGCTACAGAGCTAGCACTCAGTCGGTAGAGCATGAGACTCTTAATCTCAGGGTCAATCTCAGGGTCGTGGGTTCGAGCCCCACGTTGGGCGCCAAATGTCGTCTAGCCCAATTGACGAACTGTTACTATTACTCTCCTCGCCACGCCACACAACAAAAGACTAGTACAAATTGAGAGAGAGAGAGAGAGCTTATTCTTCGATTTGACTTCACGCGGCGACTGGAGAACTCATATCAGACAACTAACACTGACAACGAACGACTGACACTGAGACAAGACAACAGAATATAATTATAGTGAAGGTGTACAACGGGGACAAGACGAGCAAGTGTGTACACAACGGGGACAGAAGACGGTGCAGCCGCATGTACGCAGGAGTCAAAAACAGCGCAGCAGCAGCATGTACCACGACTCAGCAGCATGTACAACAAAGAGACAGCATGTACGACAAAGAGCTACACGTGCAACCGCATGTACAGGTGGAATCCTGATAATTCGAATATGGCTTAATTCGAACATACCGCTTAATTAGAAGTTTTTCCAGAACCGATTTCTATCAATACGATTCCCACATAAACAATTATGATAATTCAAACCTCGAACTGGACATGTACGGTTAATTAGAAGTCCCACAGATTCCACTTACATAGAAAATGTGTGGGATTTGTGCTGATAATTCGAAGTTAGCAAAGTGTAATTCGAAGTTCACTGTTCACTGTACTGGTCAGTTCAGTTTGCAGGAGCAGGCTGTGCCAGTCAGTTCAGTGTCCGTAAAATTTGTGTCTAAGGTCCATAGCGCAACTCTGCGTGCCCATGAGAGCATTTTGACATACATTATTGAGTTGTGGGTTCATGTTTGGATAATTAGAATGTCCGGATAATTAGAAGTTTTTCCTGGCATTTTGAGGTTTGAATTATCAGGATTTCACCTGTACAACAACGAGACACTAGCGCAGCCACATGTACAACACTAGTATTCAAGGTTAGTACCGGCTTGTGTGAACCTTTCTCAATGTGAACATTCCTGGATAAAATGTATTCATCGGTGCCTAACATTGCTGTACAACTATTGATGCTCTGCTCTTCAGGATAACACACTACATTGGAATGGAGGATGAAGCAACACGTAGTCACACGTATTCCACGTCATTTGGGTTATATTGAACCGACAATCATCATTGGGTGGCATGTCTGATACTAGTCAATTATCTTTTTCCCCAAGTAACTCCATGCACCGAGTGAGTAGCAACTACTTTTGATGCAGTTCCGGTGAAGTCCATATAAGGAGCCGTCCATAATCAATCTTTCACACAAAACGAAAAACGGGTGGGTAGGTGAAGGAGAATTTCGTTACGAAAAATATTGATAAGAATTGTGAGTTGAGCTCCCATGTCGGGAGCAACATACAAATGCCCAAGTATCGCCGAAGTTGCACCAACCTCTTTCACAAAAATGTTGATAGCTGAAACATCCACAAACATCCAACATCCATTCTAGCCATTCTAGCTGTCAAGTCAATATATTTTTCGTCCAGGAGGGTGGGTGGGTCATAGCTAAACTTTCGTTTCGTGAAAATAGTCGATAATTCCGGATGGTCTCTAAGGCATAAACGTTTTCTTATGTTCACAATACAATAATATTGAAGAGTTGCTTTTCACTGTTGAAATAATGCAGATGTCTTAACTTTATGGAGGAAGATAGGGAGTATTTTATGGATTATTTTGCATTCGAATTTATGTCACTTTTTGTTCCCGTGAGTCCTGATCTGTGTAATAAGGCTAATATCATTGTAGTGCATAGGATGCATAGGATGTGTCATTTTACATTTGAACAGTTCTCCTAATTTGCAAGAGATTCAATCCCTTTTCTTCCTATACTGTAAGACATGTATATATAACGAGGAAGCAAATCTAACGTTTTAACGGATGACATTTCTTCGTTATAATAAGATCCGTTGAGACCGTACTGCTTCATATATGCTGTGTGTGGATATGGCAGAATACTGCAAGGTACATATCTTCTCGTTAACCTATGAATTTTGGACAATCGTTAAATTTGCGACTTTGCGAATAAGTTTACAGTTTTGACTTTCATCCCGCTGCGAAATTAAAATGTAAATTCATTTTGTTGTGGAAACAATCATATCAGTTACTGGCAGCAATTGGGACCTGGTACCTGGGCTACCCTGCCCCTCACCTGGTGGTACCTGGGGCTACCTGGTACCTGGGATACTGCCCCTCACCTGGTGGTACCAGGGCTACCTGGTACACCCTGCCCCTCCTGATACCTGGGATACCCTGTCCCTCAACTGGTGGTACCTGGGGCTACCTGGTACCTAGGATATCCTGCCCCTCACCTGGCGGTACCTAGGATACCTTGCCCCCTCACCTGGTGGTACCTGGGCTACCTGGTACCTGGGATACCCTGCCCCTCCTGGTACCTGGGATACCCTGCCCCTCAACTGGTGGTACCTCAGTGGAATACCCTGCATGAATAGCATGAATCCTATTCGGGTGTACTTCCCCTATCCATTCAAGGATATGTCTGCCCACATCCCATGCTCGGGAGGTAGTCATGAATATGGGGAGCTTGGAACCCTGTATGGATCCCATTCAGGTATATCAGGTATTCTGTTCGAACACAATCACATTAATCATTGTTTCAGGAGCATAACCAGCTGACATATGGGTGCACTGACCGGGGTCACACCTGAACGGATGCACCAGGCTGGACATGTCCTTTGTCACTTTGGAGTGCATGCACATTACATGCACATCCATGGTTACAAGCAGCAGCAAAATCCCTACATATGTATTCAGAATACTCGATACAGTACTTGCAGATCAGACCCATTCAATCAGACAATGAGAATGGTGTACAGGCCCGCTGTTTGAGATGGCTAGGAGTACCCGCCATATCATACACAAGATATCATATTTTCCGGGGTGTTAGCCGCACTTAAAAACGCATAAAATAACACAAAATTTGCTCTGTAGCTTAGGCTGCGTTTACACGACAACGCACGGCCAGTTTTCCGTTTTCAATCCCGCATTTCTTTTTTTCTCCGTTCTGTGCGTTTACACGATCAAAGCTTATCTGAGGTGGTCTCTGTATCGTTTTGCTTGTGTACACGGGAGCAAAGAATCCGCCAAAGTCATGCGCCAAGTGTTGGCGTGGAGGCACCAATCACACTCAAGTAATAGTTGAAACAGGCCACACGACAACACTCCTCACGTGAACAATGTAAAAAAAATTGATAGTCAGATCCGTGTAAACGGGCGGAAACGAAACAAACGTGGTGGAAACGAGGCCTAGCACACCAGTTCGACTGTTCACACATTCAAATTTATCCGGCAGAACATTTCCGTTTTCAAATCCTTCCTCCTTGGCCAGCGTTTTGGTTTTCTTCCGTTTTGGTCTACAACTTTTCCGTTTTGCTCCGTGCACCGTGTGAATGAACCATGTATCCGAAATGAGTTGGTTGCATTTTCACCCCCAGCGTTGTCGTGTAAACGCAGCCTCAGACTCCGAATGCTGGATATACTGGATGTGAATCGATCAGCGCTACAGAGCTCCATATATAATGCACACATGGTGTCATTCATTTCTCATCTACTGAAGTACTGCAATCCATCATTGCACAACCACAAGGCTTTTTATGTTGTCAGTTCAGAGAATGTCAACAAAACTGAATTTTGGGCCCGGAAAGGGGGTGCGGCTCATACCTCGGTGCGGGTAATACACCGGAAAATATGGTATGAAAGGCTACAGCGTTATGGCCGGATCAATCAAAAACTGCTCAGTCCGGTGGTCCTGTGTACGAGTACGGTGCTGATTTACATGTTGCGTTACTCATGTATTGGAGTTTTGTTCAAACATGTCTCACAAACAAGCTTTTAAAGGGGAAGTGAAATTAATTCTTTACCAGTTGTAGTCTTCGGGGTGCTGAGTCGAATGGTCTTAGTCCGAGGAAGCTGAGATGCTCCCTTCCTCCTTTATTCCTGATCGAACTCGCCATTTCCACTGAAACTGGGTGACTGCACCCTGCTAGATGGGGATTTTGTATGCAAAATGGCACTAAAAGCGCCATTTCGTTCTTATAAAAGCACGGATGACCGCGATTGGCCCATATGTTGTAGTCTTTTGGACGCAGAGTCGACTGGTTTTGGTTCGAGAAGGCTGCGATGCAGCTTTCGGCCCATATTCCCAATCGAAGATGGTTGAATAAAGCGGTAACGTGCTCATGCGTACACCAGTCACCTGGTCACTGTGCCTGCAGGGTACAACTTACAGTCTGCTTGGGCGCGTTCCTGTCATTCGAGTTGAACATTGGTGTGAAAGTTGTAGCCTCAGCTTTCTCGGACCAAGACCATTCGACTCAGCACCCCTACTGGTGAACATTTGATTTTAGGCTTAACTTCCCCTTCGAGGAAAACATGGATGCAGTGAATGGGATTTTCGGTCTTTGACCACATGCTGGTGAGCTGATCTACTCACCTCCCACCGCTTGAGGCGCTGCATCTGCGCCTTGATCCTTGAAGGGTGGTGGCGTTCCTACGGATGCGGAAAACTCGGCCTCTGTATAGAGAAACCGAGTAGGGTCCAGAAGAAAGACAATTTGATATCGGTTTGAATGGCATATCTCTCGCTTCCATACGATAAGCCAAACTTGCCAAATCACCAATTATATACTCACGTTGCCATAGCAACCAGCGCAGTGATGATGTATGAAAAGCTTAGCTCCACCACAGAGAAGGTCGATCACTGCAGAATTTGGTCATTTTCAATTGGTTTATTGTATTCACGAAGTGAAAGAAGGGTTGTTTTCAATGCTGTTAGTGCAGTGAACTGCTTGTTAGTAGTCCTCTCGGTTGTGTCCTGGGACGTGACACCGACAGGAGAAAGCTGGAGTGCGGAGACATCAGCAGACAAGCGAGAATAGTGACGAACAAAATGCTGAAATCTTGGTTGGGATAAATCAGACGTTCAGTATTTCCCCCAACCAAGGACCAAGCCGTTTGCTCTTTCCACTTCCTGAAGATGGATGTGATGCTTCCTGGCGACTGTCCTATCTCTCGTATCATCTTCTGAAGCCAGGTGAGACGACGGGTGGTGGAGATTGACGAATGAAATAATGTTGTAATTTTGAAAGTTTGCTGAAAATGTCTCAGGAGAGATGGCGAATACCAAGCATCTTCTCCTAGAGGAAACTATTTCTTAGGCACAGTCAGCCTAGGGAAATGCATGGGAAGGCCGATAAACAGTTCACGGCACTAACGGCATTGAACACAGCACTTCTTTCACATCGTGAATACAATAAGGCAATAATTATTGAAAATGACCAATTTCTGCAGTGATCGACCTTCTCTGTGGTGGAGCTAAGCCTTTCATACGTCATCACTGCGCTGGGCGCTATGGCAATGTGAGTATACCATTGGCGATAAGGCGAGTTCGGCTTATCGTATGGAAGCGGGAGATATGCCATTCGAACCGATATCAAATTGTCTTTCTTCTGGACCCTACTCGAAAAAATCGATGCACGTCCCCTTTAACTACTGTAATTTCAGAAATTGTTGGTGTACTTTCGGTGCACTGCGATCTGTTTCATACCTAAAATTTCAATAACCAAACAAACACAAACACATAAGGGAACTGCTTCTCTGTACTTAACATTTCTGTTCACCTTACCTGGCCTTTTGCCCTCATACCTACAATTTTGAACTCCTCAATTTCTGAAACTAGAATAAATCCCAAATCCATCACTAGCACTACATGAACATGCTATTGTTAGATTGACAGCATGAAACAATGGGTGGAAAACACTTTTTTCATGCTGTCAATCTAACAATATCAGGGGCGTAGCACCCGCTACGACTGGTACGACCATGGCCGTACCACTTTTCGAAAAGTGTCGTCTGGAACGTGCAAAACCGTAATAAAAAAATCGGGATCCATCGATGCATATTCGCATTAGACTTTGACCTTTTTCTAGACTCATACTCGTAGATCTGTTATGCATCTGCAGTCGTACTGAGTACTGTCCTCGATTCGACTGCACACTGCGCCAGAAGTGTGCCAGAAGTTCCCAGAACGCAGGATTTTGTCTCTTTTTAATTTTCCCGGGGGAGGTCCCCCGGACCCCCTCCAAAACCCCTCCTACGCCCCTGAATATGCGTGAACTAACAAGGTTTATCTAATACTAGTATTGGGTTATATTATGAACATACTATTAGTACTAGAAAGTAGAATCGGACACAGTCATCATGGTCATGCGAGGTTCTTACCAGCTCAATCACCTCCGGCTCCTTGTTCTTGAAAGTCGATAAGGACGCGGCTCTTGTTGCTCTCCTAATCAGCAGGTGTTGCCATCATTTTAAATAATTCGCTGTCATAATGACGCGTAGGTCATGCTAGAGCAGGGACTGGCAGTCTGCATGTGGACCTTCACATGGAGAGTGTTGTCTGGCAATGCCTGCTTCGAAGATAGCCAGCTGAGTAAAATCCATCGGACACCAGCTCTGCGGAGAACGCGATGAGATTATCGCTTGCACCCATCATTCGGGGGTGGTATCTCCTTGTTTCCTAACACTTGCCTTATTCACAATTATTTGGCCTAGTTGAACTGCAAGTGCGCATTTTCGCTAAATCAAGTAAATGATTCGCTACTACTACTAATAGTACTATCAACCAACTCTGCGACAACTTCGTACAAACACGCCGATTCTACTCAGCGAAGTGCTAGCATTGCTAGTAATGGTAGGGTAGTCAGGTAGTGGCACTTCCAACAGGAGAACGGCGTGCCACTCACCATGTTCACACTATCACAATCAGTAAACTACATTATTATTATATTAATGTCATTACCATGATTACAGTACTGACTGTAACGAACTGTAAGTGTAATGAGAATCACACATCCATGCACATGACATGTGCATGGATGTGTGATTCTCATTACACTTACAAAATTAATAATATTATAATGTTTCATTATAATCTCATTGCACAGAATCACGTGGTAATGCCAGCAATGGTCAACCTGTACCAGTACATTAAAAAAATTATACGCTGCACATTAGCTGCACAATAGCTGCACAATAGCTGCACAATAGCTGCACATTAGCACTACCAAAAATTGTTACCGTACTCTGAATACTCACCTCTCAATAGCGACAACAAAAATTATAGTACGAATGAAAGGAAGTGACAGCAAGCCACACATGGCAACAACTTCACGAGAAGAGGAGGAACAAAACAATAATACGCAAGGACCCAGGCTGTCAGTGTAATAATTTGGGGTGAAACGATTACACTTTCTGATTACCGAATAACCTAAACCTTTATCGATCGGTTATCCTAATAATGACGACCATTTAGCAGCCAATTCGTCAACCGTAACACACACACACACACACACACACACACACACACACACACACACATACACACACACACACATACACACACACGACTGTGTTTCAAACTGTTTTCATAGAATAGATCATTCGTAATAATTCATTCATAATAATAATAATACAAATCGTATCGTAATCGACAGCGACATAATCACGATGTACGAACACCGCCTGCACACATGCGTGTATGGCTGCACCTGGCATTCCATCAAGCCAATTCAGTGACCAAAGTCTAGAAGTATACAACAAGCCACTGCTATGGCCATCATAAAATAGGAGAACAGATATTTGCAGCACAAAAATAGCCGAAGACATTGCTCAAGACACTCATAGTATTTACTGGCATTTTAACTTAGAGAAATCATAGAAAATAATGAGAAAATACATTTTTATAAGTGGAAAATATATGGTACATTGTCAAAAGGAACAGACAAATGGAAAAAGTCTGGTCAATCACATGTTGTACGCAAGCATGGACATGGGAGGGGCGTGCATGATTGGGGAAATGTTGCTCACTATGGAATGCTACAATTTGCATGCATATAAATGCTACTTCAGAGGAAGAAGAAAAGGAACTGATCCGTGCACAGAGCCATACCTGCTTTAATCATTCAGTTTAGATAGTAGTACAAAGCTGATTCCACATCCTACAATTCTCTTTTTACCAGAGTTCCCACTGACAATAGAGCGAAGGCAACACTGGCAAAAGCACCTGTTCAGCAAGAGGTATAGTGTGGCTCACCCCACACTGTCAACACTAACCATCCAGTTACCAACCAGGGTGCAGGCAAAGTAATCAGGCTGCTGTGGCACTAGTCGTTGTGGTGTGCAAATCCACGGTTCAAGTTCATGAAGTAGACTTGTGATGCACCAGACCGGACCGAAGCGAAGAAGACCTGCACAGAATATGTTACAAAACACATGTTTGAGTCCAGAGCTGCAGACCTCATGAGAACAATGGCCTTGTCGTGGCCGATTACAAATCATTAGACTGAGGTCAGTACTGCATGCTTGAGGGTTAGCATGAGAGGTGGCTAACAATCCATTAGGCCCAAACTGCTATGCACTAACCTAGTATTAGTGGTCTGATGATCACAATGGCCTTGTAGTGGCCGATAGCAAAAGACGAGTTGACCATGATCATGATAGATACCAGGGATGAGCATCCTGACAATCAGAGTCCATCATGACACACTACTAGTAGTCTGCACTGGAATGTCTGGTGAAGCCCATCTAGTGTTTGCTAACTACGAGTATCCTGTCGTAACTGGGGCTATGCGCACTGCACTTGACTACTTAGAGATAGGAAACTTGGGCTCATACAAAGATTCCATCCTGCGACAGCGCGTCCACTACAGCGCGAGGCATTTCAGCGCGACCACTTCAGCGCAAGGCATTTAAGCGCGAGGTAGTGTCAGCGCGAGGCACTTCAGCGCGAGGTAATGTCAGCGCAAGGCACTTCAGCGCGATGTACTGTCAGTGCGAGGTAACGTCAGCGCCAGGCACTTCAGCGCATGTATGTCAGCGCGAAGCACTTTCGCGCGTACTATAGTACGCAGTATCGTACGCATTATCGTACGCACGGAATTAGTGGTCTCGTCTGCACTCTCACTAGCGGGATTTGGTGATTCTTTGACAAACTTGTTTTCGCATAGTTAGAATTATTTAGTTGGCAGATAGCGATATGACAAGAGAATCCATAGATTAGAATGGAATGGCAATGCCATCAGTTGACGACAGCAGTCCTGTAGGTCACCACCAGCACTGTAAAGTTCCTGCATGCCGGCTTCCGGCTAATTGGTGCCCGTACGTACATTAACATGTACGGCGCTGAAGTGCCTCCCGCGGAAAAAATCTGCGCTGAAGAAATTGGCACTGGCATGTCCTGCGCTTAAAAATTTCGCGCTGAAATCATTGGCGCTGTCAAGACACGGCGCTGAAATGGCACCGAGCTGAAATGCCTCGCGCTAAGGCGCTCGCGCTGAAGTGCACCGCGCTAACATGGACGCGCTGTCGCGGGAGGTTACCGATACAAACATGATTGTTCTCAACCAGCCTACCGATGCGATATTATTTGTATTTGGGACAGATCATAAGAGCAAGATGATCACACTGCACTGACCTTGTCATTCCTCTCGCACAAGAAGCGTAGTTTTTGCACTTGCTTGTGCATGAAGACACCATCCAGCTGTCCGGTGTGTACATTCCTGATCTCGATGGCTTTGGTACCCCAGCCCATGATGCTACCTTGGCCAATGTAGGCTATATGCAGAAGAGAGGAAAAAGAAAAGGAGGCAATGAAAAGTAGCACACATTACATTTATTTATTTATTCCCGTAGCTATGCAGAAGACGTTACTTCAGTAACGTCTGGCGCTAGCCAGGGTCCACACAGCTTTAATTTGGTATTTGTTTGTTTGTGTGTTTGTTTGTTTGTTTGTGTCACGCCTGGCGCTATCCCGTATCTGTCCCTTATCTGTCCCGTATCTGTGACTAAAAAGGCTCTACAGGATTGTACATAACAGCTGTCCACAATATTTGCGGGCTCCTGTATCTGTCCCGTACCGTACCAATATTCGTTGTATTATGCATACGACTCCCTGATGTAGAGTGGGATTTGGAAAGAAATAGGGAGACGAGGAGGAAATTAAATTAGAATAGACGCCGATTAGGTGATAGGATGCGTCAGCATAAACATACTTTGGAAGAGAGATCCCGTCGTCTCCAAAATAAGCGTGAACGAGCGATTCAGTGCCGGTCACAGGAAACGTCGGAAGAGAGATCCCGTCGACTCCAGAACGCCCGTGATCGGTAGAGTCCGGCGGTACCAGGCAACGTCAGGACAGACATCCCGTTGAGTGCAGAACGCCCGGGATCGGCAGAGTCTAAGCCGGTCCCAGGAAACGTCAGGACAGACATTCCGTCGAGTCCAGAACGCCGTGATCGGCAGAGTCAGCGCCGGTCCCAGTAAACGTCAGGACAGACATCCCGTCGACGCGCAGAAAACTAAATCTGCAGCCTCTTTTGCCGTCGAACAGGATACGTATTTATATAGGAGACTGTAAAGTTATGTAATGTCCAAATTTCGACGTGAGCAGCAGGTCACTCGCGTTGATTTTTTCGACGTGCGAGCCAAATAACGCGAGCTGAACTTTCGCGTCGCAGACATCCCGTCGACGCGCAGAAAAACTAAATCTGCAGCCTCTTTTGCCGTCGGACAGGATACGTATTTTAGGAGACTGTAAAGTTATGTAATGTGCTCCACAGGCAACCATGCATTCGGCGTCGTCATTGGCTCAACAGGTCAATGTACATGTATTACTTCAAAAAGGCCAGAAAATCCGATTCCTGTATTAAAATCAACTAATGTTCGCTGGCGATTTAATTTCGCTGATTTCGCAAAGTAAATCGCAGGCCAACGTTTGTCATATAGGCAAATGATGCATGATTGAGCAATGAATGCATGTGAGAGCAAAAATACCGATCGATTTCAAATTTGACGTGAAACTGCGCGTCACGTCGGAAATAACGTGCATCTTAACCTCTCTAATCGAGAGGTTTCTATTTCTCATCGGCTAAAATTTGTTGATTTACAATATAAGGAGATAAAAATTAAAGAAGGAGCAAAACAAAAGTAGATGATTATTAGAGAAACAACAATCCGCAATAAATTCTGCAAATACTTTTGCTTAACTCATAATATTCAAACCGATTGAAACGTTTTTGCAATACAGTGATGTGGCCAATGAACGGAAAAAGACAATTCCATCAGTTCTTATAACATGCACGATGAGCTAGGCAAAAAAGCATAAAAGCATAGCGTAGGGCCCTGAGCTTCCAAGCTCTCTCGTTTGGTGTTTGTTTGTGTGTTTGTTTGTGTCACGCCTGGCGCTATCCATATCTGACGGCAAAAAAGCATAGGATGTTATAAATTTTTCAATTCTCCTTTTTTTTCAGGCATATCCTGGGATTCGAACCCGCACTATCGCCCTACATGCATTCCCCCATACACTTCGCATTCATACCCATCTTTCCAAGTTGCTTTACGTTATTATCTTGCGTTTGAAAGCCCTATTTGAATATTGCGGGCAGCTGTATGTGGCCAGCTGTGTTTGATGGTACGGTACGGGAGACGGTGTCGTATTACCCTCGATCGTACCTGTCCCGTACCTATCCCCTACCGTACCGTGCCATCAAAGACGGCTGGCCACAATGCATATTCAAATAGGGCTTTCAAATGCAAGATCACAATGTGAAACAACTTGGAAGAATTAGTATGTATGCGAAGTGTATCGGGGGATGCATGCAGGACGCGCGATAGTGCGGGTTCGAATCCCAGGTTGTGTCTTAAAAAAAAGGAATTTTTTAAAGAATTTATAACATCCCTATGCTTTTTTTTTGTCTAGGTCATCAAGGCAAAAAAGCATAGCGTAGGGCCCTGAGCTTCCAAGCTCTCTCGTTACATAGGACAAGACATCCACTAACATTGATAGGATAAACACTTGACTCGGGTTTCCGGAAAATTACGACTTCCGACCAAATATATGGGTAAAGTTGAAAATGGGTCCAATCCCTTTTATCGTGCTCACCACACCACAACGAGTGGGCGAGGTCAAAGCAAAGAAGATGGTTTGACAGCATCACACATGGTATACACTGACCCATTCCCCGAGACTCAACCTTGATCCTGTTACGTTTTCACATATCCATGACAGCACTGCAGCTAATGCATGCAGGTGAACAGGTGAACAGGTGGACAGGTGAACAGGTGGACAGGTGAACAGGTGGACAGTGGTAAAATGAAGCCAACTTACCAATAGATGATGGTGCTTCTCCCCACTGCAGTCTGACGTCACGCACCACTTCACCATAGAAGTTCACATAGACACCCTCATCTGACAGGCACAAGGCAGTGGAATGAACACAGACATAATTATGGCAATGGAATACAGAAGGGAGATTGATATACAGGGATTAGCTGTATCCATCTGGGCGTGAAAAGGTGAGCTCTGTACCAGATTGTAACTTGGCAGCTTAGAGAGGGTGTGTGTGGGCAGGCGCACATTTATCGCCATTTTGCCAGGTGTGTATTAACCACATAATCAGCTGCTCAAGATACTGTAGTAGTAACATAGTACATCAGGACATCGATGTATATAGCAGATGGTTCTGGCATCATCTAGCCACATTCTCAACTAAATATACTGCTGCAGACATTGAAATCCGTAGAGAAGTTCAGTGGCCATGGGGTGCTGGCCTTGCAGCCATGAGCACTGCTGGTTCATTTTCCAATGTTTCACAACTTAGAGTGCATGCACGCACAAAGCAAGTAAGGGTGCAGACCCGGGCATCCACCAGATTTGACTGTCCACTACAGTGCCAACACAAGAACTATGAGTGTCACCTGGTACACTCCACCAGAGCAGAATAATTATAGAAGGATAGAACATCAGAAAATTGGGCACCATGACCCATTGCAGCTTTCAAAGCAACTAAACTAGCCATATGACTCACGGTTGTAGCAGAGCAGAACTTCACTAAGCTCCAAACCTGCACGGAGAAAATAGGAGTTGTACAAATATGCTTTCAATGCTTTCACCATACATGCGCCTTATGAAAATTTGACCATGCGTACAATATGAGCAGGGTTAGTCCAGCAACAAGACTTAGTCTGCTTCACTCCATCAAAGAAAGGATCAGAACTCCCGATCCTGCCCAGTAATGCTCATCACCTCAATCATCCGCTGCAGCATGTGATTTTAAAAGTACGTTGGCACTCACCAGGCATTGGTATGATAGCATGTGGTACCACACCACCACGACCCTGAGCAAACACAGACAGAAGAGCATCAGTATAGGCTGAGAGAGGTCAAGACAACACAGAGTTGCCATGATTTGATCCCATAGACAAGATTCCACTGACTGCCTATCAGCACGAAAGTAAGTGTATCAACAACAATTCTAAAATGTCCATGCACTTTATATCAGCTTCAGTTTGCCTTCACATAGGGTTGTGAAAAACCTACCTGAAACGGAACAGCGAGGTCAAACACAGATCCAGTGTCCATGTCAATAGTGTGAAAGCCTGGAGCAAGAAAGAACAGCAGAGGACAGTTGACGAAGGAACAGGCACTGAACTTGCTACGCTAAGACCAACCCAGAAAAGGAAAAAAGCGACATTAAAGAGACTTTGAGGCACTAGTATGTCCGGTGAAATGTCTTGGTCTAGCACACGAGACTGTAGTGCTTCAACAGAGACTGTACTGAAACACTAGCATATCCAGTGACAGCTCTTGGTCTAGCACACTACTAGTAGTCTCTGCTGTCTCCATGCATGTGTTCAATTTTAACATACACACACACAGGTCAGCATTAGGAAATGGCCCACCCCTTCTAAAACAAGTGGCCTGCCTTTGTTGTCAACTACCGTTTTAAGGACATACCTTGTGTAGTACAGAAGACCACCTTCAGCTTGGTTCCCTCGTGCACCAGCATGTCAACCATTAGCACCTTGTGTTGAAGCTCACTGAATGACTGTCACAAGAAACAAGGATTCGCAACAATACAATCATGATAAGTACTGCACAGTTGAGAAACAAGTGACGTGTGATTGTCTACAGTGCAAAACAACAATAATTGAAATGAGCACGGCCTTGAAAACGTGGACACTTTCATAAACACATGCTTCAGATAATTGCCCTTACCTTGAACGCCATAAATTTGTGGTAAGGCTTGGGTGCCCAGGCAAACACCTCCACACGGTTTTTCAGTCCAATGCAGAGGAACCGCATCCTCTCATACTTGACTGCATGTACCAACACACCAGTGGGGGAGAGAAAGAAAGAGAGAGAGAGACAGACACAGAGAGAGAGAGAGAGAGACAGACACAGAGAGAGAGAGAGAGAGAGAGAGAGAGAGAGAGAGAGAGAGAGAGAGAGAGAGAGAGAGAGAGAGAGAGAGAGAGAGAGAGACAGAGAGAGCCAGAGAGAGACAGCGACAGAAACAGAGAGAGAGAGAGAGAGAGAGAGAGAGAGAGAGAGAGAGAGAGAGAGAGAGAGAGCGACAGAGACAGAGAGCGACAGAGAGAAAGAGAGAGAGAGACAGAGACAGAGATGGAGATTATAGAATATCAATGTATGAGTCACCACGAAAAAGAAGATACAAGGAAGGCAAGAATTGTCAAAATCAATTTTCCTTCCACAAGTACAATTTAGAGTGTTTGTTTTTGCTAGTGAATTTTGTCAGAGAGTTGTTGATAGAAGGAATAAAGTTTCATTGAAATTTCATCATTGTGTTATTGGCAATCTTTACACCAATTAGAGTTTCCTGGCATCATCCTGGAATCCACTATGTGTACCTCATAGGATGTAGGATACATATGGATGCATGCATCATGGAATACCAGCCACGGGATCAGTATTGGCAGACATGACTCCTTTCTTCTTGTCAAACAAGAACTATCCTGTCAGTAGCAGGAAAAACAGGCAATAACCCTGGCAACATTGCTCAACTTACACACTTTGTAGTGAATGCAGTTCTCCAGTACACCAACATCTGTGTAGCCTGACTTGCCATGGGCATCAAACTAGGAAGCAAGCACGCACACACACACACACACACACACACACACACACACACACACACACACACACACACACACACACACACACACACATGTGACACCATTCAGTACATTCCACGCTGCAAGCACAATCTATATAGTGCAACATGTGACACCATTCAGTGCACCAGCCATAAACGTCAGAAGATGATACTCTCTGTACAGTGTGTGCTGCCGCCGTTTATCCGTACACCTCTGTACACTGGTATACATGTGACTACACTATAATGCTCATACGCCGGCTCCATTAGTCTAGAGACATGGAGATGTTTGCTCAGTATGCTGTCCTGGCTGCTCTGCCCCTGACATGCATATTGACAGTAAGGTTTCAACTGCATGACTACCTCTTCTCCACGGATGATCTTGTTGCGAAGCCAACTCAAGTAGTACACTCTCAGCTTGTTCTTCTTTCCTGTGTGGCACAAACATACCATGTATATGTACCACAAATACACACACACACACACACACACACACACACATTCAATGAGAGTTACAGTCAACTTTAGGGTTCACGGATTGGCATGCTAGCGTCGCCAGCTACATCATGCACGTGACAGGCGCGTGCATATACTGTCCCACACAATCGGTCAGTGCTCAAATCGCATTTTCCCATCAATATCACTCACTTTCAACTCTACAGGATTCATTACGGTTGGCTCAAACTGCCTGAATTTTTGAATCCACACGCACGAAAGACGTTCCAAGACTTCCACCGTTCGTATTTTTTCAAACGAGTTCCGGGTTTTCCAGTAACTTTGGCCAAAGTTCGGCTAAAAAAACAGGGGGAGCCGTTGCGTTTCCGTAAAATACTGAACGGTAGAAGGATAGCCAAGGTCAAGAGCAAAACAACAAGCCATTATTTGTCAAAATCGAACAAGAAACGGCTCAGCGCATCTATTTTCCGTGCACGCGCGCGCGTACTTTGGCCGACATTCGCGACAAGGTGTGGAGAAATTCTGAAGAAGAAGAATAACAAGAGCAGCAGCGCTCGGAACAGCCGTGCTGGATACTTCCAATCCCGACGATGGAGCGTGTTGGCTGTCGTGAGCTGCTGAAACGACCATGACATTTCTTTTTCTTTGTATACCCTACATATCTTGACGTGCCCTAGCTCAGTTTCGGCCTCTTTACAGGAAGAATATTTTCTTCCATGGCATCAGCGGCCAAACAGCAAGAAGAGCAACAGATCGAGATTTGCAGGGCAAACAAAGGATGCGTGCAGCTACATCTAGTCAGGTTCGATGCAGCTGCGCTTTGCCAGAACCTCAGCAGATAAGAAAAGACGACAGAGTGTCTCAGATGGAACTGGATCTTTCGCCAAGACCGCCACCGCCGCCATCATCAAGTCCAGGTCAGTCAGAAAAATGCAAAGCCCGAGTGAAGTGAAGCCACTGAAGCCAAGGAAAAATTCAAAAAGTACGCTCTCCGGCTAGACTTCGAGTCGATATTTTTTTACTTCGATAGGCGCTGTCGCGGCCTGTAGCGCGCGTCCATAATCCAAAATGGAGGCGCACGTGACGGGTGCTTTTAGTGGCAAGCCGTGAACCCTAAACTTCGCTAATAACGACTGCGGATATAACGACAATTCGCGAATAACGACAGAATTTCCATGCCCAGAGCAAAGTCCCATCCCACTGTAATGCATATAATGAGACTTCGGGTATAACGACACTTCGCGAATAAGGACACCTTTTTGATGCTCCGCCGAGTGTCGTTATAAGCGAAGTTGAGTGTAGCATGCTAACTCAGACTAGCAACAAGCCCAGCGAACCGGCCAAATTAGCTCGCATATGCGAGTCACTTGGGCACGTGCCCTTCAATATCGTGTAGACTATCTCTTTCACTGTCACTGCAGTCGTGAGGTTGCAGCTTGGAGTAGGTCTATGGTCTTAACTGGTTTTCGGTACAGCTCCACTCAGAGGCATTTGGCAGCTCTACTCGGAGACATTTGGCAGCTCTACTCAGAGACATTTTTGCAGCTCTACTCAGACATTTGGCAGCTCTTCTCATAGACATTTGGCAGCTCTATTCAGAGACATTCCAAGCGGGGTCATCATATTGTTTGCTCATCTCTATTCATGACAGAGCACGGCAGCAAAGATTTTAGATGTGACCCTGACTACTGACCTATACCCTACTGACCCCAGCAGCAAAAGAGCTGGTGGAAATATCTTTACTGCCTGTAACCTCCTTTCGCCTTTCCCTCATAACTCATAGGTACATAAAAGCCTCTGGAACAGCAGATGGTGGCCACGGATGAATCCGAGACCCTTGGTCGGAGGAGTTACTTCTGCTCCGTCCCACTTCCATCCAGTATGCCACCGCCCCCGCTGTGCAGCATCTGATGGTTCTGTGGTATTAAGTAAAACAAAATGTACAAGTCAACAAGTAGGAAGTATTTTTATGAGATTCTCCCCGGCAGCAGAAATAATTTGTAGGAGTGGCTTCCAGCAATAGGCCAGCACATAGGATCTTGGAGACATGTTCTTAAGACACACCGGCAAACACTGAATTCCTTGCTCTAACCTGAGATAGAAACCAGGACGTTGAGACCTTCCAGCACATCAATTTGCTGGAATCGACGCCGACTGACAAGCGGATAAACTGCACAAAACATCAAAAACAGAAATATTACCACCATGGTGTTACGACTCATGCAAAAAAATGGAGGGATGGATGCCCAGTTAAGGAAATCTTGGTAAACACTCCATTTCAATGCACAGGAACTAGAATAAAAAAGCTGGGAGCCACAGCAATGAGACTTGAATCGGATGGTGATACACAGAGTCATGCTAAACACTCACACATGCTTGCATACACACACATACACACATGCACACACACACACTTACTTGCACTTGTACTTACTTGTTGCTCACTACCAAAACTGGTCACGTGGGTCTCCCCGGGAGAGGGGAGAGAGACTCAAAAGGAATCTTGGAAAGATTACTCAATTGGCTATTGTTGGGCCGAAACCCCCTGAAATCCCCAAAACTCTGGGTGGACTTGAAAATGATCCCACTTTTGGGCTCACCACACCTCAGTAAGTGGGTGAGGACAAGGTGCAGAAAAAGGATTGACGGCATCAGGGTATCCGTCCTGGGATCCAACTGCAGTTACCCCTGCCCCCAGTAAAGGTAATACTTGCTGCTAGTGTGGGTGGCTAAATCAGAGTGGATCTGATATAAGCTTCACTAGCACTGTTGATTACACAAGAGTTAATCTAGCCAGAAGCAGTCCATGGTTAACAGGTATGTATACTTCAAACAGAAAGTATATGAACCCTGGAACCAACAAAGGTGGCAGGTACAACATTACACCTTCAAGTAGCCGAGCCATTGGCAGCAAACCCAACACAATCAGGCATAAGTGTACCCACCAACCGAACTAGCTGGCAACACACACACACACACACACACACACACACACACACACACACACACACACACACACACACACACACACACACACACACACGACACGTGCACCAGATGCCAAGGCTGAGACGCATCTCCAGATAAATGTCAAAAAAGGGTTCATTACTACATTAGAGATTCACCTTGACCATGTCCACTACGATCCAGCAGCATCAAGCCGTTGTCTGTTCCAACGAGGAGATTAACACCTGCAGTAAGTGGAAATAGTGTGGCACGAAGTACGTTATATATCGGATAGAATGTATGAGCTATGCCCAGGGTTGCAAGGAAAGAGGTATTGCAAAGAAATAGGACTCTCCTCAGGTGAGCAAAAGTTAGAGAATTGGTAAACTGGTAAACTTCAATTGAAATGCAGAAAACACAGAAAACTTCATCCAGTTCGCCAGCCGTGGAATTAATCCAGGATAGTACAGACGTAAGTACGTTACTGCTGTGTTCGTTGTTACAAATAATTACTACAGTACCGCTACATCATGGGATGAATGTGTTACATATGATTATGTACACTGCCATAGCAACTTTCAGTGCACACAGCCGTACCAAGTCAGTCCTTGGCTTCACAAAAAAAAAACTTGTCGTTTTTCCAAATTTTCCCAAGAGGGCATCATCCGGGACATGGTAAATTTCGGAAAGACGGAAGTTTTTTTGCGTAGCCAAGGAATTGGTGCGGCTATGTGCCCTGGAAGTTGCTATGATCATGACAAGGCTACAGGAGAGTTAGCGCTATTCTAATGCACACTGAACCTATTTTTACGACAGAAAACTTACCCCAGAGTGCTGCACACTGGATCTCAGAGTTGAACTTGCTCTTGTACTTGCGAATTTCAGGCACCATGGAGCCAGGTCCTTTGCCGGGTGCAGTCGACGGGTTCACGTTAACAACGGGACCACTGGGAACTGGTTCCAGGTGACTCTCATAGGCGAAGGAATCCTTGCGGCCCCCTTGGTGTGGACTACCCTGAGAGCCGAAAGAATCCTGCCGCCCCTGAGCCAGTATGGACGAGCCCATGCTCCGTCCAGAGGATGGACCACTGCGACCAGAATTGGCAGGTGCTTGAGCAGCTTCATAAGCAGATGCAGGTATACTACCACTCTGGCGATGTCCTCCTCCGCCAGACTGTACCGATATAGCAATGACAGCAAACATTCACTTAGTCAACATCAGCCAAACATGTCCAGGCAATTTATTCCAGCTTGGCCGGGGAAATCCCTGTTTTAAAAGTGCTTCCCCACTCACCACTATCTCTTTCTACAGGAAATCCAGATACTCAGGAGCGCAGGTATGTTGACCTAAAGGTGAGAAGCTATTAATCGGTTGACGGACGGATGCATGTCCGCACCAATTCAGATAGCAGTCTCAGTAAAGTCACTAGCCACTTAGCCACCTCGCGCCCCAGTGTGTGGACAAGCAGAGCATAGACAAAGGTAAGAAAGCATGACTTGAGGTGTTGTATTCCGACACACTATACATACACATACCTGTTGATCGTGAACCACCATTGTGTCGAAGCTGAATCCAGCGTCTTCTGTGTTGCGCGCATGATTGGGCGATGTAGCTACAGCACATAGTGTGATGTAAAAGAAGATAGGCTACATGCTTGAAGACAGGCTACATGCTTGAAGATAGGCTACATGCTTGAAGATAGGCTACATGCTTGAAGATAGGCTACATGCTTGGCTAATAGAGTATCCGATCAGTTTATGACTTTCTAAGAGATATGTCCACAATCATTGTACTGAGACAAAAAAAGTTCAATATAGTGCTGGCTCTCAGCTATCCAATCAGTCACACTGGCTCTCAGCTATCCAATCAGTCACACGGAGATGTTTCACTACGGACCATTATTTTTAGGAATGGCGGGCTGTCAGGAAAGAGGCTGAGACCTAGGGCAGTAACCCGAGGGATGACAAAAAATAATCTGTACATGCTGTGCCTTTAGCATTCTTACCAAGATTCTGAATGGAGATGGCTGACTGGTAATCCTGTGGTGCAGACCTGCAATGGAGAAGTTCAAAGAAGGGAAGTGAAACAATGGTGTTCCGCACTATTTTGAGTACAGAGAGCAGTACAAATCCACAGAGGATCCCTGGTAGGTTTGAACAGGTCTTCAGGTCACTGGAGATCAATCATGGCCTTTCTGCATGGACAATCCATTTGTCACTCATCATGATGTAACACATACACCTACATGTAGGTAAGCACATTATTTTTTTATTTTTTTATTCTTATTTTACTAGGGAATTCCTAACAGGCGCCATCGCCCGCTTTACACTCATTTTGCATACTCATTGTATTGTACTAGTGTAGTATGGTCACTACCAGTGTCATCCCCGCATCATTCCCACCTCGCTCACCAGTTCACCAAAACATTACAACCTGAGTCAAATCCTAGACAAGCGCCAAAGTTGAGAGAACACATAGTGTACGTACTGCTTCATGTTATTCACGCGTATCGTTCCATCTCTGTCCGGATCCTCGTCGTCTTCATCATCCGGGCTTGTTGACCTGGCTGCAGCAGCTGCAGAATTTGCATGTCGTGCTGGAGCCTGTTGCAGTCCCTAATGCATGCGCATCAACACAGTATACATTTTAGATCCGAAATAGATTACACTTGTGACTAGCAATACCCAGTGTTGATGTTCTAGAGATTAAAAATAAAATTTGTGTGAAAGCTATCGACAGTGATTGATATCCAACAAACCCCTCATGAGTCTAGTCCGGAGGAAATCACCAGTTTCAGCTCTGCAAATGCCTCCCAAAACCATGAACCCAGAGTTACACAATACTTTCACAGTTACCCAGTTACCCAATTCTAATTGTTCTGATGAATTTGGTGTGTTAGGCTAACCTGAGGCAACATTTGCATTCCTGACACAGGAGATGGCTTGTCAGATAGGATGCCAGCAGCTGCACCAGATCGCTGATTGTTTGGAATGTTAGCACCGGACTGAGGTGCAAGTGACTCTGGGCGACCTGCCCCCGCCGCTGCAGCTCCAGGCCCGGCAGCAGCTGCATTGTTCATCACACTTCCAGCGGGAGGTGCTGCTGCCGCCGTCGCACCACCAGCACTAGATTTCAGTGTGTTTTGGCCTTCCTCTGCAAAGCCTAGTGTGGCCACTGTCTTCAATGTTCTATAGTTATGAGCAAAAGTATACATGGAGATCAAAATACGAACATAAACGATATGAATAGCATACTGATACTGCACACTCATGTCAACAGCTTGTAATGTTACTTAGGGCAAGCAAATTGCACATAGAGCAGTGTCATCTGCATAGTGCTACACGGATAGAGTGTCAGCTACATACCCAGACACGGCAGCATCTTCAGTCTCTTCCTCAGAGCCAGAGTACTCATAACCATCATCGGCGGCTGAACAGTGGAGAAGAAAAAACTCATTGTTTTACAAATTCTTAAAGGGGAAGTTAAGGCAAAAATTAAAATTTCACCAGTTGTAGTCTTCGGGGTGCTGAGTCGAATGGTCTTGGTCCGAGAAAGCTGAGACGCTCCCTTCCTACTTGAATCCCAATCGAACTCGCGCACTTCCACCGAAACTGGGTGACTGCGCCCTACTAGATGGGGATTTGTATGGAAAATGTCACTAAAAGCGCCATTTCGTTCTTATAAAAGCACGGATGACCGCGATTGGCCCATATGTTGTAGTCTTTTGGACGCTGAGTCGACTGGTTTTGGTCCGAAAAGGCTGCGATGCAGCGTTCCTCCTTTATTCCCAATCGAACATGGTTGAACAAGCGGTCACGTGCTCCTGGGTTGCCCAAATCACCTGGTCACCACGCCAGCAGGCGACAAATTTCACACCAAGGTTCAACTCGAGTTCAACTCGAGTGACAGGAGTGCACCCAAAAAAGGTCAAACAGGCTAGTAAGTTGTACCCTGCAGGCACGGTGACCAGGTGACTGGTGTACGCAGGAGCACGTGACCGCTTGTTCAACCATGTTCGATTGGGAATAAAGGAGGAACGCTAGATCGCAGCCTTTTCGGACCAAAACCAGTCGACTCAGCGTCCAAAAGACTACAACATATGGGCCAATCGCGGTCATCCGTGCTTTTATGAGAACGAAATGGCGCTTTTAGTGACATTTTGCATACAAATCCCCATCTCGTAGGGCGCAGTCACCTAGTTTCGGTGGAAGTGCGCGAGTTCGATTGGGATTCAAGTAGGAAGGGAGCGTCTCAGCTTCCTCGGACCAAGACCATTCGATTCAGCACCCCGAAGACTACAACTGGTGAAATTTTAATTTTTGCCTTAACTTCCCCTTTAACCAGCACCCAACCAGTTCATATCCAGCACCCAACCAGTACACTACCAGAACACTACCAGTACCCTACCTGTATATAACCAATATACGAAGAAAAGGCTCCACAGTATAACAAGTTAAATATATAGTCTAATTGCAGCTAGGACTCGCTCAAAGAAACTTGGGCACAGCTTTACCACATAGTGCGAGTCAGATTTAGCACTTTCCCTACATGGGGACATGTGTAGGACGAGAAGTCAGTGCTAAATCACAGCACAATGCACTTCCTAGGGTGAAACAAATGCAAGGTGTGTAAATTATCATGAAAACATCCAGTGGGATAAAGCCCGGATATGTAAGTACAGCCATACCCAATGCTGTAGACAGCAAGCTGTTTCGGTCATCCAATTACAGTCATACAGACAAGATACGAAAAGGTGCACCTTTTCTAAGCCAAGTCGCACCTACCCTACATGTATAACTGGGCGACACCCATATTAACACCATTCAGGTACAAGGAACATCGCACGTACACTTGGGGTAGAGAGATATCGGGCTAGAATCAGCAAACAGTTTATGACCGACTTACCCTTTCTGCGCTGCTTCCGGTCAATCATATCCTTCAGATAGATACGGCATTGTTTGTCATTGATGTCTTTCAGGAAGTCATGCCTCTGGAAAACAAGGAGCACAGTAATGGAGAGCTGTGAGCACAACATGAGGTGCTCAAAAGAGGAGAACACAGAACAAATAGGGACAATAAAATAAATTAAATTTCACGGTTCGCGTGAGACTCGGCTGGAAGCCGAGTTTTCCGCATCCGCCGTGGGAACGCCACCACCCTCTAGGATCAAAGGCGCAGATGCAGCGCCTAAACGGTGGGAGGTGAGTAGATCAGACCCACCACCAAGTGGTCAAAGACCGAAATCCCATTAGCTGCATCCATGTTACCCTCGTGCCAGGCCACGAGTTCCCAATTAACTGTGGGTCGCAGCACGGCTGGAAAAATTCCTTCCGCTTCCAAGCAGGACTTGAACCTGGTACCCTCTGTTTCTAACTCATGGTCTTAGACCATCCCACTATGCCTGCCTATATATAGGGACAATGGCGTGGAACTTAACAACATCAGCTGTTAACAATATTCTACTGGTCATCACAGGGTGAACACTAAGCAAATGAACCCGAAAATATCAAGAAAACTAAGACTGCAAACATGGACAATTATAAATTATATCAAACAAGCATAACAATATTAGACAATTGTAGTATGTTAACAAGTGCTGAAAGTGACTAATTCGCATGTCATATAATAAACAAGTTCAGCATGTAGAAAGGGCCGCTCCGCAACAATATGTAAAACCAGAACACACACATACAGGAGAGGGAATACATCAATACATAGTGCATACCGCCAGTAGGTCGTCCGTATACATTCGCTTGCGATGGTCCTTTATCAAGCACTTCTCGGTGAAGTCGAGGAAGTTGCGCGACCATTTTCGGGACTTAAGGCGAGGAGGTGGGTTGCGCGGGATGAGAAACAGAGCTCTCATCGGATGAATACTGCATAGCGCTGCAGAATGATAGAACCAACAAAGAAGTTCATGAACTTGATTTCTGGTACTTCTTGATACTGATTGTTTAGCCTACACATGTACATGCATGTGTTCGCATCCCTGGTCCCACTAACTAGTATCATGACAAAGACTCAACAGGCCCAACAATTTGACGAGATTTTACAAGGATATCTTCATCATGTGTCTTTGGAACTACACGCATCATCATACATGAGCAGGTAAATGGTGCTACGTACGTGGTTCTGCTTCGGCCATTTCAATGGCCGTGATTCCAACTGACCACACATCACACTGTACAGCAGAGCAGAACCGTGAGTAATGGAGATTAGCACAAATCGGTACAATCATAATGGATGTCAACCACTATCATACACAAGCAGACCGGCAAGAAGTACAAACACAGCATGATCTAGTTTTAGGAAACCAGAGGCCACATGCCATGTACTGCTCTTTTCTCTCCGAAACCCAACACTTGCAAGCCAGATATGAAAGAAAGAAAAAATCATCAGTCACACCACCGGGACTCGAACCAGGGACCTTGCTATTCGCGAGCAATGCTCTAATCAACTGAGCTACAGTATGACTCGTATCCACAGTGATGGTAAACTGATGATTTTTTTCTTTCTTTCATATCTGGCTTGCAAGTGTTGAGTTTCGGAGAGAAAAGAGCAGTACGTGGCATGTGGCCTCTGGTTTCCTAAAACTTTGAAATTCTCCGTGAAGTCCAAATTTGAAATTACAGCATGATCCACTCGCAAGTAATAATGTCCTCCATCGCACTCTCTACTTCTTTAGAATGAGGTCAGTCTTATTGTCTGGGATATGACCAATCAGCTACATCCCCGCCAAGGTCCTCATCAGAGTTTAAAGCCAAAGCGACGCTGCACGTTCTCTTTGAAGATCATGAAGATCATGTACTAGTAGTACCATGTTAGCCATACTATGTATCACCCTCACTTACTCTGTTATCATAGGATGCATCGCGAAAAGAATCACACGCAATTACTTCCGGAGCCATCCTGCAGAAAATGTCAATACGCATGAGAGACAGAAGCAATCAAGTGAACAAACTACATCTAAAGAAGTAAGTGGCAAGCTTTCAGAATCACAACTACTACCGAATTTCAGAATTTCACCTACTACCGAATTTCCCCCGAATATAAGTCGCACCTTCTATACAAAAAAATCAAGGGTAAAAACGGGGGGGGGGGGGGGGGGACTAACAATCGAGCATGACTTACTACTGAAGTTAATATATCCAAACTATATTGCTCAAACTGAAAATGGGGGTGCGACTTATAATAATCGGGGAAATACGGTACCTTAACTTTTTGAGCTAACTTCCGAAACAGCAGTACTGTAAAGGTAGGAAAAATGGAATAATACTTCTTCCTGTCATCCTGTCATAAAACCATGAGACTGTCTTATGAGAATGCCTTCAAGGGAAAAAGGACTGTTAAGCCAGAGGAGAGCAAATAATATTATTTCAGATGGGAATCTGTCCTTGTCACACCTTCTGTGACATGACACACAAAGGAACTCACTCAATTGCTCATTCTTCTAGCTCATCAGTGCATGAAAGAGTCAAGCTGCTTGGGAATAGGAACTTCTTTTGAGTCACTGTATGCCAGCAGGTGTTCAGCAGATATTTGATTCCAGAAAAATTTATCTGATGTTGCATACATTGCTACAATGCAGACAGGCCAATACTCACCAGTATGGTGTGCCGATGAATGTGTTCCGCTTTGCAACAGTCTGTACTAGTTGAGCCGAGACTCCAAAGTCCACTACAGCAGGTGAAATGGAAGAATACATCAATACCATATCAATCAGTAAGAGAGTGCGAGAACTCAGAATTGCAGGACACACAGTGTGGCAATAGTAGCAGGATATTCGAGTGCACAAAGGACTTGGTGCCTGACTGTATATTCACGCAGAGAATTGAAATAGAATATGTTTAGAGTAAAGAAGAATGTTTCACAGATATCACTGCGTCAGATCATCGTTGGTAATGATTAGTTCTACTGTTTTGAAGCACAACGGAAGACAGTCGAGGAACATACCTAACTTGACCTCTGCGTTGTCAGTTAGCAGGACATTCTGGCCCTTGATGTCTCTGTGAATGACCTTGCACTTGTGCAGATGACTCAAGCCCTGCCGCATGAAAACAAAGAAAGAACGAACGGACATGAATTCCTGTGATAGGAATTCAAAAGGTGTGGGATGCCTCTCTCTAGCACCACACAGCCTTCCCTGTTAGGCAGTATACACTGTTCTATGTACACAGTCAAAGTACAGGACGTCAGCCTCTCTAGTTAGTTGAAGAACAGACTTGACTTACCCGAAGGACTTCTCGACAAACGTACGCCACACAATCTTCCCGTAATGCACGGGTCTTTGAGCCTGGAATCAATGAAACACAATCAATAATGTAAGAAAAAACCTCAGAGCAAACCGTGGCCAGAAAATCCAGTACATTCAGAAATACTTAGGCTCTCGGCCTGCCTCAAGCCCAACTTGGGTGAAACTTAGGCTCTGAAAACCAAATTTCACATCGGCAAACTCCACTTGAAAGAATCAGCAAACAGGGTAGACATGTATCGTATAACAATTATCACTTACTTTTCACCAAGTCCGTGATTGATCCTCCACCGCACAGTTCCATAACAAGCTGTGTAGTGCACATGTTCAGCACAAAGAGACCATTCCACATCCATCACCAGGAACAATGTGCCAGCAAATAGCACCCGGCGAAAGTGAACAACAAAATTTCAAAGCCAGAATCGACTTCTAGGGAGGAGATGTTGAAGTGCATAGCCATCTTATAGAGCTATTTGCGCAGCAACTCGAATGGCTTGAATACGAGGCCAACAGAAGGTTGTGGATATTAGAGCCTCCAACTGTTAACAATCAGCATCATTGGGTGCCAACGAGGGAGACAGGGCGACAGGGAGACACAGGAAGCATGTGCACAGTGAGTGAGAGTGTGTGTGTGTGTGTGTTTGTATGTGCATGTGTGTCTATATGTGTGTGTGTGTGTGTGTGTGTGTGTGTGTGTGTGTGTGTGTGTGTGTGTGTGTGTGTGTGTGTGTGTGTGTATGTGTGTGTGTGTGTGTGAGTATGTGTGTGTGTGAGAGAGAGAGAGAGAGAGAGAGAGAGAGAGAGAGAGAGAGAGAAAGAGAGAGAGAGAGAAAGAGAGAGAGAGAGAGAGAGAGAGAGAGAGAGAGAGAGAGAGAGAGAGAGAGAGAGAGAGAGAGAGAGAGAGAGAGAGAGAGAGAGAGAGAGAGGAGAGAGAGAGAGAGACAGAGTGTGAGTGAGATAGAGAGGGGGGGGGGTGAAAGACAAGGAGAGTGAATGAGTGGGAGACAGACAGACAGAAAAGACAGATGGTTAAAAAAAAGAGGGAGGGAGAGAGAGAGATAAAGAAAGAGAGAGAGAGAGAGAGAGAAAGAGAGAGAAAGAAAGAAAGAGAGAATGTGTGGGGGTGTATCAACTCACCCAAAGGCTATCATCTCTGCCTGGGTTCTTGCGCACAAAGGCACCGTAATACGTCGCAATGTTGGGGTGATGAGAGTGCTGCAAAAGCGTCAGACAACAAGCAAAGCTCAGCCAAAACAGTGTATGAACTAAATCGATCCCCAAGGCCGTACTGCATAATGAACCACCGGGCGTATTGTCATGTGAGTGCAACAATGGTCATGCTATGCTTGCATGACTATGATCATGCTATGCTTGCATGACTATTGGACCTTACCTGTCGTAACACATTGATCTCCAGTCTCAGATCTTCCTCCTCTTCCTGTGAATTGGGTTACACAAGAACACAAAGCACATTCATAGAGATTGATCGTAAACAAAACAGCCCAAGCTCTTTTCCTTTGGGCTCATCACATCAATGTTTTACGAAAGGACACAATACATCCACTTCTGAAGTAGAATGGGGTACATCATGTGTGCAAGTTCCGGTGCATACATAGTGTTACTCCTCCCTAGATTCACCAGGGCCCTCTGGGATATTTCCCTCTTCATCTCAGTGAGAATCTATCCAGGTGTGGTTGAGGAATTCAGAGTTGCCTCTGTTTTCTAAATCATGACCCAAATACTAACAATAGGTGAGGCACATAGGAACAGCACGCTTTCGGAAGCATGCAGAATGTGACCTTCCAGTGCTCGGGAATAAAGGACAGTATTTTTACAACCCTTGCTTGTGCTTCGTGATGAAGTTTCAACATACACTCACCTCAGCCACATCCATCACCTTCACAGCCGCTAGCTGGCCAGTTTTGGTGTGCCGTCCCTGGAGAATAGCCAAGACAACAAAGATAACGTATTCACCATACTCGTAATACTTCTAGTGTAAGCATTAAACATAAAGTACACTCAGTTAACCGGACGCCAAATTTACGGGCACTTCGGTCTACCGGGCACACTTTGGCCGAGTTTCAGTGGAAATATCCCTACTCTTTTGTGCAAGTTTTGCGTAGCTAAAGTATGTTAACGTGGTGATGTAATGTTTTCACTGTATGCTGATGTCTATCACGCGCGTGTTCGTGGCAGCTCACGGATGCGCCGTTGTGCGCATGTGCAAACTCTCTCAGCAGCTCTCTTTGCATATGTACACCTTTCAGCAGCCTTCGTGCCTGGCTCTCTTTGTTAGTTGCATTGGCTCGCATGACTCTTGCTCCGTGTTTTCAAACTCCGGAGTTCTTCAGTTCTGTTCTCAGACTTCCTTGTACAAGGTGACATCGTAGTTTCGGTCTCTTGTTGCCTAGTTGTGGCGTCCAGTCCCTGGGCGTGCTGGAATTCTGAGTGCAGTATCCGCGGAGTGGTTTACTCAAATTTTCCCATCCTGAGGCAAGAAATGTCGCGCAGGTCCGCCAGGTCATCTTCTAGCCCCCTACGCTAGAGCAACATCCTCCTCCGCTCCTGGACAAGTGGTACCCCCGTCTGGCACCACCCAGGCCGGAGCCCCGGCCCAGAGTCAGATTTCAGCCGCCGTGGCTGTTGCTATTCAGCCTCTGGCCGACAAGGTTACCCTGCTGGAGCAGGCTGGCGCCGCCCAACTCGCCGGCCCAGGAACTGGCGTAAACTCGGGACCCGCTCATGTTCCGACGTTCAGCGGGGCCTCGTTTTGTGCTGCCGGATCAATTGCCACTACAGCGCCGGTTTTACCAGTATCAGTACCGGCCGCCAGCCACCCGTCACAACAGTGGCCATCATCTGGAGACCTCCCGGTGGTGCCGCCTCGCCTTCGAGACCGGATTGTGCGAGGTGGGTTCACAGAATTAAGCGATTTGCTGCCTGAATCCCTGGGTTTCGAGGAGGATCATGATGTGATGCAACTCAACGTGGGCGCGGGCCGATCTGTGCAGCTCGTCCCCAAATCTTCCCACCGGCAACCCGCCAAACGACACATCTACGATCTTGCCACATGGGTGGAAGCGTTCACCACATACTCTAGGGTGCTGGCGACGCCTCACCACAGCTGGCAGGTGATCTCTGGGCGTATCAGGCCATCATTGTCGATGCCAACGTCCGGTTCCACAATGATGCCTGGCTGTCCTAGGACCGCAAATTCCGTATGGCCAAGGCGTCCCTCCCTCACCGCTATTCCTGGTCCGTCATTGACCCGAACCTGTGGCAGTCTTGTCTCACAGGACGTGGGCGGCCTCCCTGCCAGCGTTGCTCCATGGTCCATCCAAGTCAGCCCAGCAGCTGCCCCTTTCGTGGGGGGGGGGGGGGGCTCCCAGCCCCAACAGCGCCTACTGGGAGCCAGTTCTCGCACCAGCCTCGCTTTGACGGCAAAGCCATCTGTCGTAACTTCAACTTCGGCAGCTGCTTGCTCTCCCCTGCTCCAGAGCACACGTCTGCATGCATGATGTCTCTAGTTAGGTGTCTGTATCATCTTCGCGTTGCTCACGATTGCCTGATATCAGCAGTGCACATCCCTGGTGTTACTAATATCATTGCCGATGCTCTTTCCCGGAATCTTGTTGCAGGAATTCCGCTGCCTGGCACCCACGGCACAGCTCCATCCGGACATGCCAATCTTGCCCACACCGGATTGACCGAAGACGTGGCCAGGCTGGCGTCCCTGGCAATAGCACCGCCATCCAGGAGGACATACTCAGCTTCAGAGCGGCGGTACCTGGATTTCTGTCAGCAGCATGACGTCGTGGCCCTGCCTGGAAGCGACGTTACGCTGTGCTACTACGCGGCCCTCCTCATGCACACACTGCAGCCGCCCTCGGTTCGCACATATCAGCCATCCGGAACTTACACGTCGAAATGGGCCTGGAGTACCCGAATCAGCCGACGTCCCTACTGTCACGAGTGTTAAGAGGCATAGCCCGTTCGTCGGGACCTGGCCGCCCTCGTTTGCCTATCACAACACCCATCCTCCGGCAACTTTGCTGACGCCTCCAAGTTTCCTCCATGCGGCACCCAGTTGACCAGGAAATGCTGCAGTGCGCCTTCACCCTGGCCTTTTATGGCTTCCTGCGCTGTGGTGAGCTCACCTCGTTGACGTTTGGCAACATGGCCCTGGATCAACAATCATTTCGTGTCACCATCACGCTGCTGCAATCAAAGAGGGACCCGGACGGTAGAGGCACGGTAGCCCACGTGGACGGCTACACCGATGTCATCAGCTGTCCTATTACGGCGATGGTGCGGTACCTGACGGCAGTGTCGGCGGAGTTCCAATCTCCTAGAGTTCAGCTGCTCGTCTACCACGATGGCCAGCCTCTGACACGAGCGGACGTCACGAGGGAGGTGCGGACCCTCCTACCGCTTTGTGGGATTACAGATCCGCCCAGCTATGCCAGCCACCCAGTCCGGATCGGAGCAGCCACGTCTGCAGCTATCGCAGGCGTACCAGAGCACGTGATCCGCCATATGGGGCGTTGGCGCAGCGACGCCGTGCTGCGCTATATCCGTGTTGAGCCATCCGAGGTGCGGCTAGTATCAGAGAAGCTAGCCACAGTGAGTGACTGACCAGTAGCGCTGTACCCTGTACCCTGTAACTTGTGTGACGAATGTCTCCTCCGGTATACATACAACTTCCAGTAGCGCTATCGGTACCTAGATTTCTTGACTGCTAGCAGCTCCTGCTATACTCCTTATTCAATGCTTTCGTTATTTCTGAGCACTGACTTAATTGGGTGGCCCACCAGGGTAACTAGCTTGGGCACTGAACTCTCAGTAGCTAGCAGCATTCTCTCTACTCTCCCGAATCACTCTATTCGGTTACTGCCCTTGGCAGGTCAGCCGCCATTTCGGTCTCACTCTCGGTCCCCGCCTTGTCGGGTCGGCCGCCTCCATGGTTACACACTGCCAGATCCTTCGCCCAGTTACCCTGTGGTGCCAACCAACTACTGCTGTGTCTGTGTGTGGGTCGTGTATGCATCCGCGTACGGAGCATGCGTTAGTCACTTTTGGCGGAAATAGTTGACGCCATGTGCCATATCAGTACGGAATAGTGGTAGCGACTTCGGCGATGATTGTTAGGAAGGGGTTTGCTCTCCACACTGGAGCTCGCGCTATTCTGCCGACAATCTACGGCCTTTCTCCATAAATATGTATGTGATTCGGAGTTACGGATATTTCAAGGTTACGGGCAGTGCCCGGTCCGCCGACGTGTGAGTGTTGTAGTAACTAACATGGCAACATCGCAACGTAAATAACAATATTATGTACATGTAAGATGCAGTTGCCTGCTGGGAAACATGTTTGTGTTGCTAACAATTGATAAAATTAATATACTATGACAGAACCTCACTGATATTCATGTCATTGTCCAGCACTGGATTTCAGTGTCTGTTTCTAGCTGTATTTAGGATAAAAATAAAAATAGAATGTTCATGGTTCACGTGAAACTAGGCTGGAGGCCGAGTTTTCCGCATCCGTAGGAACACCCCCCCCCCCCGAGATCAAGGTGCAGATGCAGCTCCTAAAGCGGTGGGAGGTCAGTAGATCAGACCCACCAAAGTGGTCAAAGATCAAACATTGAAAAGTTAGGATAAGAACAACTCAATTCGGATTGAAGAACAGTACCTTATAGACTTGTCCATAGGTGCCATTACCGACGACTTCAATCAATTCAAATATACCTCCTGGGTCCTGTACACAACAGATATACAATGACACAGTCAGAATGGGTTTCCACTTTTCTATGGGGACAAGAACAGAAGGATGCGTTTCAAGCAACAGAAGATAATTTGACCGGTCTTTATTGGGATGCTGGTTGCCACATGCACCATACATGGCTCATGTTGCAAGAGCATCGCAGGCATAGTGATGGTCCATAGTTTGAATCCTGGTGGCGACAGCAAATTTTGCAGACATTTCCCTTCACACATGCCTCAAACACTGACATTAGGTTCACATCAAGTTACTTGCCAAACAGTCATAGAGAGTTGTCTGTAAACAGAGCGGGAAAGATGTGATGGAGAACATTACCGCTTCCTGCAGCCCATGCTACTTACGTAGCGCACATCTATGACTCCAGGTCTTGTCATACACGTTATATGTATATAAAGGACTGATATTATTGCAATTGCAGTCTTCCCCGCAAACCTAACACTGTGTTAGCCAGCACTCAAACCAGCACAATTTCCAGTAACCAAACCGGCACAGGCATACACACTATAACAATAGATCAGACTTGTTAATCCAGAATTTCAGTCACGCAAGGTGCCAGATTAAATGGAAACCACTGTTTCGTCACTGTCATTGTTTGGGGATCGCATTTAGCATGCCACTGCGAGTTACAAACACATCGTGCTCAGACCTATGCGTTTCTTGGCGAGATTTAGTCGCACCGGCACCGTCTTGCTACAGATGACTTCTGGTAAAATTATCGTTTTGATTCGCGGAAAATCCATACAAACTAAGAGAGTGATATGCTCCCCATATCCCACATTACTGGAGTCCCGTATCATAAAAATAATGGTGAACTAGATCATGACAAAATATTATTCCGGATTTTGATCTAGGCCAATCCCATCGCCGTGTATGGCGCTGCATCTGCCATCCTGGTGTAATCAGGCATGGCGGTGGCCTGGCATGAGCGAAACTTCGCTAAGCTGCCTGTTGTGTTTATCAACACAATTGTATAGCCGGTGGTAACGCGGATGTGCAAACTTTACTTTACTTTACAATCCCATGTGCAGCAGGAACACTGCCCAAAAATAGCTCTGATCAGTCTCTGATTCACACAGAGCTAAACTGAATTGATTCATAGGTGATTGAATAGTGAAGGAGACATTGGCATAGCGGCGTTCCTCTGATTGATAAGCGACAGTTCGGTGTGTCTGCATGCGTAGCCCGTGGCGAATCTGTGCCACAGATCGGGACGTATTCACATGGCCATGACAGGTTCGAAAGATTCTAGTTCGAGCATTCCGAAATTCGGGACAAACGCTACACAATTAGACAGTGCGATGCACCAAATTCTCCGTTGGGAGCAATGTAAGGCCTTTTCAAGCCGTCACTCACGCCGTGAGAGAAGGAGACACATCAAAGAACAAACTTTCATTTTACGTGTCAGTGATTTGCGCAAGTCATCAACAGCCTGCAGAGAACATTGCGTATTGCCGAATTTTACTACCATTCTTCCAAAATCACTTCCACAGTGTTGAGACAATAATCTAAAGCACTCCCCACTGTGCAAGTGAATGCGTCACAAACCGTGCACTCGCTACTGCCAGTAAAAAAGTAAGTAGATTTCATCTCCTGAAACTATTCAAATGTTTCGCTCACCTTCAATTTGGTCAGATCCACATCTCCGAGACCGGACATATTCGCGACTGCCCCGGTGTCGTCCCTAGTGCATTAGTAAAAATAATTACCAACGAGCAGATAGAAGAAATTCAATACTGGTTGAGATTATCTTTCACGCAGCATAACAGCACCTGTCGTCGATCGCGCAGAGCATTGCACTTACCAGCAGCGACTTGTCTGGGTGGAGCGCCTCAGTCACACCGACCGTACCGGTACGAACACAGATAGTGGAGGGAAGACAGTAGCGCCTTTTGGCCAGTTCCTGCCTGGAATGTGCCGTGCGGCGAAGGGATCGCAGCTCCTCGAAAATGGTTGCTGTTTGTGACAGTCGCTGCAGCGATAGAGTGGAACCGCCGGCCGCTGCTCCCTTTGTCTCCGTGGTCACGGACGCAGAAACTAGAGAACTAGATTAGTAGATAACCAGTTCAATACTCATTAGCTAACATAGCTCAGTAACGGAGCAAAAAAGTAAAACCGCTGCACACACACTGACACACTACGTACTCGTACTCGTTGTCTGCACAACTACTGACTTTTACTACCACTGCACTACCACTGTACCAGTCTTGATTCCAGCTAAAAAAAGTACAGAGTAGCGTACATCTACATGTACATGACTAGTATGCGGAATGCTTTTGATGGAGTATGGCCGGTACCGGTAGTCGAGTTATCACTGAAAATGACATCAGTTGTTGAAGACGAAGTGACGGTCATTTCTACTCAGAAAGAAGTAAAAAATGCTGTGCCTACATGGCTGTATTAGTATACTATTATGCGTGGCTTCTCAGTCTCACTCGCTAGCGCTGGCGGTATTTGGCAAGCCGGCCAGGGCTAGGGCCAGGGCAGGGTCTTTGACTTTTTGCTCATGTGCGTGCAGCAATGACAGAACCGCATAAACACAGACAGTCACCACTCACCAGTGGTCACACTGCCCGAGCCAGTGCAGTGGAGGAGTGGAGCTGGTGCCGGCCGTAGAGCCAGTGGAGGTGCGGACTCGACAGCCCCTGAAAATTCTTCACGTAAGCTGCGGACTCCGCACCTAAAAGACTACATTGTATTGTGCAAAATCATAACGCTCCAGACAGTGGAGTCTGGAGACTACTGACTACCGGTAGTCTACTGTCTCAGTACTGACTGTACTAGAGTAGACCCCACTCAGCGGTCAGTCACCAGTGGTCACTGAGTCAGGAGTCAAGACACGGATTGCCCCTGCTCATTATCATGATTAAAGCCAGGCCCATAGTTTTTAGTTTTTTTGTGACTTGGCCATCGACAACACCAACCCACATAGTTGTGACATAAGACTATCAACTGTCAGTCACAGCCTCCATACAGCTTGCCACATGACAATGAACCGATGACCGTGCAGGCAGTTGACACAAGAACACACCCACTGCCATCGCCAGCAAATACCATGACCACCATGATCACTGTTATGTGCGCTCGAGCTGCGCAGACAACGACAATAATTATTTCTCTAGGGGTATTTTTTTCTTTTCCTTTTTTTCACGTGGAACCATCACACAGGTACATGATAATTATGATGTAGCACAAGCAGAGCTAGCTCGAGACAGAAGCGGAAAGGTTAGCACTACATTGCTGCCCTGTACGCGAACTGTTTTATTTTACTTCAGAAGTATTTTATTAGACAACGGAATCTCTTTCAAGTGTTAGTCTAGTATTTGCTTCCTTGAAGTTGAAATAGTTCCTTCACTTTGTAAAGTTCGGGGCTACACACAATATCACTGCAAGATCAATGCCACCAACATTTTGTACGTGCACCGCAAAGACCGGAAGACAGGAAGAATCCATGGCTTGACTAGACATGTATACCGTCTACAACTACATGTACTAGACTAGAGTCACAAAAGGTTTTCACGACTCCCTGCTACGAAGTGTGACTATGAATCAGTCAGGCTGCAGCTAGCTAGCTGTCCACTGCCACACTGGTCTGCAGCTTTTTGCCCCGCTTGACATCTGCGGCATGCATGGCTCCATGACATGAGACGATGAGTGGCAGTCCAACAGTTCATACTCCTTTACTCTCCCAGCTCCCAGCTCAACTCCTGATTGAACTGCCAAGATAAGCAGCAGCAGACAGCCAAATGCAGGTCTTGTATGTTGAAGAGTGTGATCTACTACGGTGGTTGGTTGGGGGCAGTGTAAGTACCTAATTTCTAAATCAGCTGTGCACTCATGCTGTGCACTCATGCTGTGTGATGATGGCAGCAAAACGTCTGTACACTGAACAGTGTAATGCACTCTATCTACTGTTTTCACAGTCTGATGTCTGATGTCTCAATCTTTACAAACATGTACATGTATTATCAGAGGAGTTCAGCTTGTGACTGTCCAAACTGACTGCAGGAATGTCAAGGGAGCAACAAAAATAATAATGAACAGAATAGATGACACTGTAGATGCAATCAAGTAAGTTGGCACATTTGTGACACCACCGCCTATGGCTATGCTTTGCCTAGGCTATGGTGTTTTAAAAGAAACGCCACCAGCTTGATTAGACAAGTGCATTACCTTGTGCATTATGTGCATTGTGTGCCCATTACCTTCGATTGTGGAAAATAAGATGACAATGGTGATACAGTAAAACCTGGTGTAAGCGACCTCTGGGTTTAGTGACCTCTGGGTTTAGTGACCTCTGGGTTTAGCGACCTCTGGGTTTAGCGACCTCTGGGTTTAGCGACCTCTGGGTTTAGTGACCTCTGGGTTTAGTGACCTCTGGGTTTAGTGACCTCTGGGTTTAGTGACCTCTGGGTTTAGTGACCTCTGGGTTTAGTGACCTCTGGGTTTAGTGACCTCTGGGTTTAGCGACCTCTGGGTTTAGTGACCTCTGGGTTTAGTGACCTCTGGGTTTAGTGACCTCTGGGTTTAGTGACCTCTGGGTTTAGTGACCTCTGGGTTTAGCGACCTCTGGGTTTAGTGACCTCTGGGTTTAGTGACCTCTGGGTTTAGTGACCACCTGCTCTTAAAACGACCGTCTTTCCATGCACCGACAGTTCTACACATACACACAGTGGGACCTGGTTCTAAAAACCACCTGGCTTTAACGACCGCATTTGCTTGCACCAAGTTTTTTTCGTTTGAGTTTGAAAATCTTTATTTTACACATGCATTTTCCTGCTTTCTTCTCCAGTGTATGTTGCATTGCATTGTAATCCATTGTGTTAATTTTTGCCCGAAAAGAGGCTAGTACCATGCACCATCGCAAAAATAGGAAAAAATGGTGACAATGATACATACCATGTACCAGGCGTTTCAATAGCAAACAGTGCACTGTTGAATTGATGTGCAAAATGCCCCAAAGGACATCGTGGGTAGATTGTAAGCAACTGAATTTGGTGAACTGGCATGTGAGCCAAAGGAACAACAGGGGTACGAGTATGTTTGAAAATGGTGTGGGAAAGATTGCTGGCTGGAAAACTGCCACAACTAGCACAACTGGGTACATACAGCGGCACTGGTGATGAACTGCCTTTTCTCGTGAACACCACAGGAGGCGTATGGGTGGGTCACAATTTCCTTGGCTCGCTCGTGCGCAGTTTGTTTAAAAGAGTATTATCAGTATTTCTTAGCATGCATGGTCTGCTTTTTTCGCTTCATTATCATATCAATAGGGTATGCTTGTGTTCACATCATGCACTATTTCAAAGGCCAAATTCATTCATGCTCAAAATGCACATTTGAAGGACAATGACACACACATTCTCATGGAAAAGCCTCCAAACATCAAGAACTCTGCATTGCAAGCAAGTTGAGACAAAGCGACCATGGACACATTGTCAACCCTCACACCATCGTTGTAGCCTCCACGGTGATCCTTGGAGTTGTGAGGCTGGAGCGACGTTGGCGACCCGGAAATCCACGTGGGCAATCTGTGTATCTGTCATTGGTATCAGATGATGAGGAGAGAAGGCGTATGGGAGGTCCTGGAACGAGTGTTGTCCTCACAGAATCCATGAAGGCCCTATCGGAGCGATCGTGCCGTTGCTGTTGATCTGCATGCTCATAGAATGGTGATGGAGAGCGGCTGGATCGGCGGTCCGATCTGTAGTCCTCTTGATTCCGCAGAAGGAGTTCATTTCCGCCCTAAAGTATTAATCACAAGAACGCACGTGCACACACACCTTGAACCTTGAACATGCCCATTGCCGATGGCAATGATAGCAAAGGGACTATCTGCTAGCTTTGCAGTACGGAGCGTGGTGCTTGAGATCCCTGGGACGACGGCAGACACACACACACACACACACACACACACACACACACACACACACACACACACACCACCGACATGCACCACCACCGACACTATGACCTGTGCATCACCAAGATATTTACATCTTGTTTTATCACATCCTCCATTGTGTCCATTGTGTCTCACCTGTGCTTCTAGAGTACCATCTATCTCATTGCCACCTTCCCAGCTGGTCACCTCATAATCTGGTCGAACATCAGGTGCACATATCTGCAGATACTCCTGATATTAGCAAACACAACATGCACACACACACACAAACACACACACATACACACACACACACACACACACACACACACACACACATATATATACATATTTATATATTCACAATGGAAGCGGTCCTCACCAAGAAAACACAATCCGTTGCTACTCCGAGTTTCTTGAGTTTTTCAATCGTCAGGCAACTTTTCCATATTTATATATTTATACGTTTGTCATGAAAACATCCAGATGAAGGGAATCGGGTTACCGAAAACATTAACCTCTGTACTCCATGTTGCTTGCTGTATACAAGTACTTGCTCCACCTGACTTTCTATTGGTTGTCCAGGCAACCGGATAAAAGAGGAATGGAAACACGAAGTGTGACTATATCAATGTGACACAGTCACTGTACAAGTATACAGCAGGAGTCAAGAACATCTTCCAAGAACATAGCAAGCCTGTAGCACATAGGGTTGCTCAACAGGCAGGGCTATATTTTCTCGCCCGCTGAATCTGGCATGTTCAAGTTGGAGTGCTCAACACCAAATTGTTATGACTTGCTCCGGTAACTAACTTCTAACTCGGTAGTCAACCAAAATTTGAAGATAAAAAGGCATTACTCACTGCACTCTCCTCCATCATTCCTTCCAGTTTGAATACCAACTCAGCAAAGGAAGGTCGGTCTGGTGGATTGGCTCTCCAGCATGTAGACATGATGGCATAACTGCAAGAAAGGAGCGGCAGCACACAAAGTATGATTTGCACTGATTTGCACAAACATGTACATGTATCATGCTGCGGACATGAATGTGGGGTACGTGTGTGTGCGTGCGTGTGTGTGTGTGTGCGCGTGCGTGTGTGCACGTGTGCGTGTGTGTTGAGTGGGGTGGGGAGGGGTGGATGGCAAGTAACGCATCTGGCAGAGAGGGTGTATTTTTAAACACTTGTTTACTCAATGTTCATATACCCAACTCGTAAATAATACTGAAAGACAATGGTACTGAGACTAGGACAAACGTGACAACTACTGAGTAGGGGCTGCACCGAGACGCAGCAGTGATGGTGGGGCATTGATGGCTCTGCCGATCTGAGGTCTCGGCATCACGGCCAAAACACGCACCAAAAACAAAAGATAGAGCTGTACGGGTCAGCAAAATAAAAAGAAAGTAAGGGTTAACATCAGCTAGTGTGCAGCGCAGCATCGTAGCAATGGGAGTCGTCGACGGGCCACTAGAATGTAGGTGGATTGACAGGCAGAAAGTCCGTGGGCCATCGCCAATCCTGTCAGCGGAGGTATTCGTTGACGCTGCATTTAACGGGGAAGTTAAAAGGCAAAAATCAAAATTTCACCAGTTGTAGTCTTCGGGGTGCTGAGTCGAATGGTCTTGGTCCGAGAAAGCTGAGACGCTCCCTTCCTACTAGAAGTACTTGAATCCCAATCGAACTCGCGCACTTCCACCGAAACTGGGTGACTGCGCCCTACTAGATGGGGATTTGTATGCAAAATGTCACTAAAAGCGCCGTTTCGTTCTTATAAAAGCACGGATGACCGCGATTGGCCCATATGTTGTAGTCTTTTGGACGCTGAGTCGACTGGTTTTGGTCCGAAAAGGCTGCGATGCAGCGTTCCTCCTTTATTCCCAATCGAACATGGTTGAACAAGCGGTCACGTGCTCCTGGGTGCCCAAATCACCTGGTCACCACGCCAGCAGGCGACAACTTTCACACCAAGGTTCAACTCGAGTTCAACTCGAGTGACAGGAGTGCACCCAAAAAAGGTCAAACAGGCTAGTAAGTTGTACCCTGCAGGCACGGTGACCAGGTGACTGGTGTACGCAGGAGCACGTGACCGCTTGTTCGACCATGTTCGATTGGGAATAAAGGAGGAACGCTGCATCGCAGCCTTTTCGGACAAAACCCAGTCGACTCAGCGTCCAAAAGACTACAACATATGGGCCAATCGCGGTCATCCGTGCTTTTATAAGAACGAAATGGCGCTTTTAGAGACATTTTGCATACAAATCCCCATCTCGTAGGCGCAGTCACCCAGTTTCGGGGGAAGTGCGCGAGTTCGATTGGGATTAAAGTAGGAAGGGAGCGTCTCAGCTTCCTCGGACCACAACCATTCCACTCAGCACCCCGAAGACTACAACTGGTGAAATTTTGATTTTTGCCTTAACTTCCCCTTGAAACTTTTGAAGATTTTTGCGAATTGGGGCGGAGTCTATAAAAGCTGGCGGCAGGGAATTCCACAGCTGGATTGCACAATACGGGAAACTGCGGAGAATGGCGTCTGGCGCTTGTCGTGGTTCGGAATTTCTTAGCTGATAACTGTGGCCGGTGGCCGAGCAGAGATCGTTTCGAGTGCGAGTGGCGTCACGGGGCTCCAGCCTTGGTGGGAGGACTGCTAGCAATTGAGTCGGACCGGTGAGGAAGTGTAGCTTGTACGTGTATGTTAATGCAGCAATATATCGCCGTAGGCTGAGGCTCTGGAGCTCCGTCCCGGGACCAATGATGCGCAATGCATGGCGTTGGATGCTGTGTGTGTGTGGGTACAGGAATTTACGGAACGCATGAACAGAGCACTGGCATACACTTCATACTAGGTGTAGTTCCTTTTCACATGCTATTCTGAATACCAGAGTAACGAAAGCATGGGCACATGCTGTTCTGAATACCAGAGTAACGAAGGCATGGGCACATGCCATTCTGAATACCAGAGTAACGAAGGCATGGGCACATGCCATTCTGAATACAGTGGTCCCTCTATAATCCGGCACCATTTGTGCCACGAAAATCTGCTGGATTAGGGAGGGTGCTGGATTAACAAATCTGATTTACTGCTGCAATGTACATGAAGAGGACATTTTGGCTACTGAAAATTGTGCTGGTTTATCGAGGGTGCTGGATTATAAAGTGCCGGATTAGAGAGGGACGACTGTACCAGAGTAACGAAGGCATGGGCACATGCCATTCTGAATACCAGAGTAACGAAAGCATGGGCACATGCTATTCTGAATACCAGAGTAACGAAGGCATGGGCACATGCCATTCTGAATACCAGAGTAACGAAGTCATGGGCACATGCCATTCTGAATACCAGAGTAACGAAAGCATGGGCACATGCCATTCTGAATACCAGAGTAACGAAGGCATGGGCACATGCCATTCTGAATACCAGAGTAATGAAGGCATGGGCACATGCCATTCTGAATACCAGAGTAACGAAGGCATGGGCACATGCCATTCTGAATACCAGAGTAACGAAGGCATGGGCACATGCCATTCTGAATACCAGAGTAACGAAGGCATGGGCACATGCCATTCTGAATACCAGAGTAACGAAGGCATGGGCACATGCCATTCTGAATACCAGAGTAACGAAGGCATGGGCACATGCTAGGACTTCAGAACACAGGAGAAAAGGCTGCTATGGTGCTGCAGTAGGGATCTTTCACTACTCCACTACACTGTTCATCTGTGCAGGCCTGCGTCCCGCCTCGTTGACAAGCTTACGTATTTGAATACAATAATGGGTGCATACACAGCAATCCAAGTAACTCACTTGCTGTTTTCTGTGCCACACCCCTGGTACAAGAAACACTCTGTTCAAGAATATGGAGATACATGTATCTAGAATCAGTACTTATACAGCATTCATAGCTACCGATGTACTGGTGGAGTACTCTTCTTACATTTCATCGCGGCAATGATTTGGCTGGGGCATTCTGTTTCCACTGGCGATGTATGGCAAGAGAACATCAGTGGGTATACCGGGATAGGGACAAGCACCTTTGCAGGGCATACACCGAGGCAATTGCGGATACAATGACACATTATTCCATTGGCATCATTTAGATGAAGAAAGTCATGAACGCAGCAGCACAGCAGGATGTACTATTTGCACTTCACCTCGGGCAATGCAAAGTCTTGGTGGACTATGAAAGCAGTCCTGGTTAGTCACAACATAGTACACAACTCATTCCAGTGCACATTTACAGCTGTTGTTTTAAATACATGTCCCTGTACTCCGACCAGCTGGACCGACTCACATACCGTACTCACTTGATTAGAAGCCCCTCTCGAATAAAAGCCCCGCTTGAATAATAGCCCCCCTACAAGGACTGTTGGAAAAATACAAGCCCCTCTCGAATAGAAGCCCGGACTACTATTCGCAAAGCACGGGGTGACCAGGTAGTGCCATGTATGAAGGTCAAGTCTGCAAAAAACATCTCGTGCATGTTCCTATTGGTACAAGTCCTGGTCGCTGTAGTGTGTGCAAACTACCTCGGGGCCGAGTTGCTGTGAATATGAATGTTTTAGAGATTCGATTGGAAAACTGGTATGGAATGAAACAATAAAAGCCCCTCTCGAATAGAAGCCCCTCTTGAATAGAAGCCTCCTCAAAATTGGTATTGAAAAAATAGTAGCCCCCGGCTTCTAATCGAGTGAGTACGGTAGTAAACAACTTAAAATTAACCTGAAACCCATGGTATTAGGGCTGATAAAGTAAACAGTATAAACTGAAATAGAATTGTTCCCACCTGCAGGGCTTCTTACCGAGAGTGACAATCTCCCAGAGTAGAACACCAAACGCCCAGCTACGACATATAGAACAAAGGACCAACCGGCAAACACAACACAAGCTTGGTTGTCACTAGATTGACCAACAATGGGTGTGATGTGCATTGGTAAGCTAGTGGCCTAGGAATGAAGAGGTTTTACCCAGCGGCATAGTGTGACGGGTGTTACCAAATGGACTAATGATTCCTGGACATGTGCATATCAACATGGCAATATGATCCACTAGTACTAACACTTCATGTACATGGTCCACATACGCTAGGTTGTCATCACTGCCAACACAGCACCAGGCATCGCAGAAGAGAGAGTATTCATGAGGGCATTATAGTCATTAGGAGACACACCAGTGTATACACTTACACATCACTTTGGGAGGAGAAGATGCCAGCTCCCAGAGACTCGACTGCCATCCACCTGACTGGAAGTGGAAGCTGCAATGAATGAGGATTATCCAAAACATTGCATTGCACAATTTCATCTACATCTGTCGTGTGCTTTAGGACGACTAGCCCACTCTCTTCTTCTGACTTTCCGGGACGACTAGCCCACTCTCTTCTTCTGACTTTCACACATTCACATAACCAAGGACCACAAAGGAATTTGACTGATAGAAGAATCTGAATTGTTCATCAGACGCTGAAAGTAGTGACCAAACTGTTCAACATTGTTTGTGTCACACAGTTACAGTGCAAGTGACCACCAGAGGATGGACAACACATAGAAAACCCATGCTACATGACTTAATGCTATGGGAACTCATCATCACACAGAGTACAGGGATGTGGACATGCAGCATAGCATCGTCAATGGAAAAAGTGGTACAACAACGTAGTGACCTTTAGGCCGATTCCACACTACGCCAAAAGTGGCTTTGCCTTGAAGGCATAAAGTGGCTTATAAAGTGAAGCTGCATTCACACCTACAAGTGTCGATCATGGGACTTTGCTTTGAAGGTTAGACTGTGAGGCAGGGAGTAGTAAAATACATTTTACTACTCCCTGCTGTGAGGCTTTCCTGTGCTTGATCTAGCAACGGCGGTAGTGGAGAGGCTCTTTGTTGGTCCAAATCCTCGATTAACGCACTCTCCACATACAGGCATGCACCCGGCTCAGAACACATTGTTTTCTGGTTGGCATATCAGGGATATTGGGCGGAGCAGCTGGCGTGCATGAAAAAGACAGGTCGGCCTGCTCTACGCAGGAGCTGTGACCCGGTGCACACATAGTGTTTGTGAGAGAGAGAGACAGACAGGTCGGCCTGCTCTGCGCAGGAGCTGTGACCTGGAACACACAGAGTGTGAACGAGAGACGGTCGGCCTGCCGTGGGCAGGAGCTGCGACCGGTAGTGATTGAAATGAGCCAGCTGCGGAGATAGACTGCCCTCACCCGATATAAGTATATTGACAAGAGTTGTACTGACACTGTTATTGAGGAACTTATGGTGACAGTGACGGAGAGATAGTGATCCCCAGTCGAATGGGGTTGGGAGGGAAGGGGAAATTGACAACTGACGGACAAACCAGTGAACAGTCAAGTCGTCGGAAAGCAAAAGTGACAAAGGAGTCTCTCTTTTCTCTTTCTCTTTCTCTAAAGCAAGATTTGGAAAGCACACGTGGGAGAGTGGCGCGCGCTGCGCATGCGCATGTATAGCAATGACATCATAATCAGATGCATGATCATCAGACTAAGTATGAGTGGTAGATGTTCCACGTTCGTTAACAGGGCCTAGCGCACACGCTAAACCACCAATATCACCCATTTTCGCGTGCCAAATCTTGAAATTTGACCACGCTGTGTAGGCGGATTCCAGATCATAGGTCGAATATTTGTCAACCTCGCCAACAGGCATTCCGGTGGCAGTTTTCTTTGTGTATGTCTCGTACAGTCCTTTCGCCTTCGTTTTCATGTTGTCGATTTTGGAATGGACGATCGACGCAGTATAGATTGCCTCCTCCCGGAGCTGTCCAGCAAACAAATTCAGCTTGATGGCGATCTCCTCCGGCGTAGCTCCTGCGAATTGTACCACCCGGAGGTCGCCTCAAATGTCCGTTCCAAAGCTCGATCAGCTTGCCCTCAAGCTCCTGACTAAACATGACCCTAGGCATTGTTGACAGCTCACAACTCACCACAACTGAAAGATACGACACGAAACAAATTTGGAAAAATCGAAAGGCTGAAGAAAAGTCAGAAAAGTGTCCTGAAAAGGTAAAAAGTTGCCTTGAAAGAGGGTGCTGGTGTTGCTTTGTAGACAACAAGCACTTTTCACTTTCGCGGGTTTCTCAAAGTGATCGCCATGGCAACTTGCCTGAAAAGTGCCTGAAAAATGGCTTTGTAGACAGGATTTGGTGTAGTGTGGAATCGGCCTTACATGTCTGACACTCCTGCAGAATCAGCGTATCGGTAAGCTATTTTTTGCGTATTTTATACTCGGATGTTGAGCCAAAGTAATGATGGATAAAAAGAAAGGACAAAGTGTTACGAGTTATGACTAACTGTCCACCAGTACTCCTTGTCAGTTTTGTGCCATTCTGCCGCACTCGCTGACTGCATATGATCTGGTTACGCTGGTGGACAGTTTGTCATAACTCGTAACATTTTGTCCTTTCTTTATTATCTATTTTTGAGTAGAGCGTATAATATATCTAGCACTTACGTTTGACCGGGCGCGATACATGTCTTCATTTAACAAGTACCGAGCAAGACCAAGATCAGAGATTTTGACGACGGGTATTTCGTCGTCGGCAAATGACTTGACAAGGACATTGCGTGCTGCCACATCCCGATGTATTACCTGCAAAGACAACACCATTTAGAGTGCAGTTATCATGTTCAGGTGAACCAAAGGTGAACCAAACCCACAAACAACAAACACTACCTAGCCGTGACTGGGAACCTTCACATCATGGACAGAGGACAACTAACAGAGACAAGGAGGTTGGCATGGGGAGTATCATAGTGGAAGGCCAGACCTGGACCATGATAGATCCTGAGAGATGCCTAAACCATTTTGCCACACCGTCCGACCATTCGGACTTAGATGATGCCAAGTGACCAACTGTTCTTAACGCCACTATGCAGATACGCATGGAAAGGCCATCTGTAAATGATATCAGGTTCTAGTGAAGCCTAGCAGGTGGGCGATGTACTTACCTTCTTCGAAGACAAAAACTCGAGGCCCATGGCCGATTGGGAAGAAATCTGCAGTAACTGTTTGGCTGACAGTTCAGAGTCCACAACATTGGACCTGATGTAACCGTCATCACCACCGTCATTGCGGCCCTGTTTTGATCTCATCTTGAGAAGGAAAGAATGGAGATCACCGCAGTCCATGAATTCCATCACCATACATGGAGACCCTGCAGGTCATTGAGTTAGAAAAGAAGACACCACAAAAGGCAGTTTGGTCAGTGGGATTTGAGTCCACATTTGATTGTTAGTTAAACAAGGGCCATAAATAGTAATCTGGAATCGCCGTCCACCGCGGGGAGGACAGGTCCAGTGATGTTGTCAATATGTCGTCAGCGCTATCGCTTCTGAGATACCCTGTACAGCTGGCCAGCAACTTTGTAGCATTTACAAATACCCTGTTTTTACAGACTCTGGTATGAAGTCTGTATCTACCTTGTCAAACTCGCATAGTAAGCATAACAAACAACGGAACAAGAGCCGAGTAGTAGAAGTCATAAGTACTCACACATCCTCATTACCACTGGCCATAAATCAGTGATTGTGTTTAGGAACACACTCAACCAGGTGTACCCCAACACATGAAACAACTTCCTACTGTTAACGGCGAGGGAGGGGAAGGAGGGGGTGCAGTGTGCAGGTTCTGTTGCAAAAATGGACATCTTACTGAGTGCCGCTCGGCAGACAACTCAGGATACTGAGGCCACTGAGTGCAGCTTGCACGGGTGGAAAGAGTGAGAAGTCCAAGCTCAGCATGAATGCTGTCGGTGGTGTTGATGGAGCACATTCAGATCATCAGATGATCACGGGGCAGGTGAGTGAGATTGCCAATCAGGTTTTGGGACCAAACAGTATCTCTTTTCAAAGCCAATCAAGTATTCCGGTCGGCATCGGAGGCATCACCATGCTACCAGAATTATAGGTGCTACATGCGAGCTGATGGGACAAGAAGACATGATTCACCCAACGAATATAGACTACGAGTCACCCGCCGCTCAGAGTCCCATGCAAGTGACCTTGTGAAGTTCAACTGACTTACACTGAGACCCACTGACGGTGCTGTGTGTTCCATGCCGGGCGCCGGAAGTGAACTGACAGGCGCCTAATGATGGCCCCAGATGTAGTGGCTCGAAAACATATTAGGTATGAGTTCACCGGCAAAGAACGAAACAGCATGCTGTCCGCAGATTGAGTATTAGGTATGCCCTGTATTGGGCACTGAAGGCAGCAGTGCTCATCCTATCTACCTCAACAAATTCAAAGTTCAACTTACCTCTGTACATTCCGCCCGCCAGCATTTGCACGACATTGGCATGATAGCCGATACTCTTCTGAAGCAGATATTCCTCCAACAAGGCACTTTGCTGGGCTGGGTCCTTACATGCTGCTGCACTCAGGATATTGCAAACAGGAAAGAACAAACAACTTGATTCTCAGGAAATATACTTCATTAGTTGAAGTAAAAAAATGGGCCTGTCCGGGATTTGAACCCGGGACCTCTCGCACCCAAAGCGAGAATCATACCCCTAGACCAACAGGCCAGACACATATACATACAAGTAATGTATTGTATTAGATAAGTCTTGTTTGGTTGAAAACTTGTCGTTTCTTTGACAGCATGTTACAAGGCAGAGGACGCACTGTGCTTGAAAAAGTAAAGACTGGGGCTCTGCCAACCGTGGAGATTGTAGTAAGGAGCACTGTTTTCGAGCACAGTACGTCCCCCGCCTTGTAACATGCTGTCAACCAAACAACAAGTACTGCATTGTACATCCTCATTTCCCAAAAAATCAGCAACAAGCGCGGCGTGCATATCCCTGCTGTAGGGGCGCACCTATACAGAGCTCCCTGTGCAGTCCTTCGTGATACAAACTAAGTGTGTGGACAAATGCATCACAGCATGCACCAAATTCTTTACACATAATAATAAGGTGCACCATACCCCCGTTTCAACAAAAAATCCGTATCACAAGAAGCAAAGGGGGAGCGTAAATGGTTCTACGGAGGCTTGCAGGATCTTGCGCCACTCATGCGCAGGTCAAGTAGGCTACAGTGCAAGACAGCACCTCCAAATGTGAAGTGTAGAAGAAGCCGAAGGCTTGTTCTGATGACGCAGTGAAACTAATGACTGCAGACACTTGGTAGAATTTCAACACCAAGAACATGCAAACTTCTGGGATTGGATGCCTGCACTCAACCTGGATGGAGTGGGCACCAAATGCGAGTCACTGCGTCTTTGAAAAAAAGTTGGGCCTGTCCGGGATTTAAACCCGGGACCTCTCGCACCCAAAGCGAGAATCATACCCCTAGACCAACAGGCCAGATGCACATTAGGTTCAATGTCTTCATTATACATGAAAGGGGGGGGGGGTAACAATTGCCTGATTATCATTTCCAAATACTGTACGAGAGGAGTTTCCTCTAAATCGAGTGCAAAGCAACTTTTTCACGGTATACAATTGTACCAATCTTGCCAGGACACTGACTTACGCTTCAGTCTCTTCACTGCCACTGCTTGGTACTCCTCCCGTCCTCTTTCAAAATCAAAAACTCTCAGCACACCCCTGAACACATCGCCATAGTGACCGCCGCTCAGACGCTCTTTGATTGTCAGCATGTTTTCAGTCAATACCTAGAAGCAGAATGGATTGGAATGCACAGCAGGCTATCATGTCACAGGTACAAGTACATATATTTGCATGCCAGGTAACGGTTCCTTGAGAGAAAATAGCACTACCAAACATCATCACAAAACATCATCCACTGTTTATTAAGAATGTGTTCACTTGAACGCATTCTAGTTCAGTACAAGTTTGACTAGTACTCTGCTGCCATTAAAATAACTGTCCTTTACAGTAAGTGATTGCTCTTGTTTCCTTGTTTCCTTGTCAGCTAGTGATTGTTAACATGTGCGATAAGAGACTCTCTGTCTTACGAAACTGGTCATTAAAAAAAATAGGACCACGTTTCTACATACCGTTTAAACCTGTGCTGAGACTTGAACGGACAACCGCTGCCTATATAAGGACCGGTATTCCGTGCACTGCAGGTTGGTCATTCAACACCGCCTTCTGAGCGCAGAATGAATGCTCCGAAGACTCTACAGGTAGCTCTTCACCATGTGCTGTACTGTCTTATATCTCTCAAGTTCTAAAGCTGGGATAGCATACTAGAGGCATACCGTATTTTCCGGAATATAAGCCAAACTTTGAACACTCAAAAATCACTCCAAAAGTTGGGGTGTGGCTTATACTCCGATGATCAAACTAACGGTGGTAAATAGGGTAGATGTCTGTATTTCGTGGCAAAAACCGGGGGGGGGGGGGGTACGGCTTATACTCCAGTGCGGCTTGTACTCTGGGACATACTACAGCTCTTGTATCCATGTACGACTCACCTCCACAGGCTGGCCAACAGTGAGCATGCTCAATGCAATGTGTTCCAAGGCATGGTGGAAGTTGAACGGGTCATACTGTGTTTGACGTAAGAAACGCATCGCTTCCTAGGAAAAAAGCGTGACCAGAAGTTGTAGGCAGATGCAAGGTCTTTTTGCTGTGGAGTCTGAAAATACAACTGAACACATTTCTACATGAACCTCTCTGTTTCACATTTCTACATGATAATGCTGGGACTAAGATATAAATTGAGCAGACTATGCAACTATGAAGCAATATTTGACAGTATGAGACACATAAGTCACCTCTAAACAGGTAGGTGACAAGGAAAACCACAAAGCCGGGCTATATACAGTACAGAATCACAAAAGCTGATCGTGGGTATTTTATGGGCGTGTTTTTTGCATATTGTGTGACAGAACTATAATTATGTAACATGTATTCATCTTTAGTAGGCATAGCCATCCAGCCCGCCAAAGCAAGTGGGTGTGCATACAATTGTCACACGCAAGAATGCACCACTTCTTACCACATGATTCTTGCGCTTCGTCCAAATGACACGAATGGCGATGTAAAGGAAAAGAATGAGAATATTGGCCGCCAGTACACAGGCCACTATTGCCCCCGTACTGAGAGTGGATGCTGCTGTGCACACAACAACACAATCACAAGTATCTAGAGTGAACAAACACACACACCGCCAGTCTTACCCTTTACCCACAACTCCCATGCAGCATCAGATTCACAATGCCTTGCTTGGATTTCGTCAAAGGCGATCAACGACAGGCCATGAAGCAGGAGGCAAGAAAGACTGGGACGTATTGCAAAGGAAATGCACACTCCTACTGTAGTCAGATGTATTCTCCTCTGATGTACATCATCAGTCTCCTGCTTTGTCCCATGATGGGCCGTGTTGGAATCACAAAATATCAACATTCTGCAGAGTACTCCTATGTATCACCTCATTGACTTACAAGAGATGTATGTAATATAATATCAGTGATTCTTCAAGTATAGGAAGAAAGAGTGGACCAATGAACTACAAGTTACGCTATACTGTCTACTAACAGCACCAGTTACTTGACAATCAGCTCATGCGATGACATTAGCTTCCCCTCCAATCGATCCTCGAATCTTTAGAGCCACACGAATTGTGTGGTATGTTGCTATGCGTCCTTGAATTTTGGTTTGACCGTATTGTCCAATGGTCTTTCCAGTATGGTCTGCGACATGCATGTACATCCGCCAACGTCCTTCACAGCTGAGACTTTCAGCTTGTGCCTGTCTTGGTCGTGGTCACCTTCCCCTCCTGTGCTATTTCCATAACCTATCCTTAGAACCTTCCAAGCTGGAAGGCTGTTGGGGTGCGCATCCGAGACGTGCTAGAGCTGTTAGCCAGTTAGTTGTAGAACGTCAGTACCGTTGGTCAGTGTCGTGCAATGTTATCGTATGAGCTGATTGTGAAGTAACTGGTGGTGTTAGTGGACATTATAGGGTAACTTGCAGTTTATTGGTCCACTCTTTCTTCCTATAAATCCTATAAATCCCCCTTTCTTCCTATAAATCCTATAAATCCCCCTTGCCTCTCAAACACAAGGCTAACTATACATACCTGATGAATGATTCTTCTTATCAGATAAATTCGTTAGACAACGGAAAAAGGATTCGCACCGAGCTTTGCACATGGAATGCCCACACCTACCAGGTTACCTGCAGTTGCAGCTAGAAACGGAGCAGCTAGACCATAGACTACATACAATGTCAAATAAAAGCCGGTCATGATCACATTTACTCCAACTACCGGTATCGGGTTTGCGGATTTTCAGATCACTCACATGATTTAAACTTCATCTTGTCACAAACTGGGTCCGCCAGCTAATGCACACAGTCAACATAAAGGAAGCCAGCAGAAACACCATACAATAAGGATTTGCAAACCCCTATTCATCCACCTAGACATTACCTAATCTGAGCACTCACTCACTCACTCAACATTATGGTCTCTTCTCCGCAAGAAAATAAACTCTCAACATTAAATCACCAAATTAAGTCACGGTCATTACTGAGCTGTACAGCGAAGGGACCACTTGCTTCAAGGATGGTGTGCGCAGGATTTCCGTGTAATGAAGTGGCTCAGCATTAGAGCTCGTGCACCTTTAAGAAGACATGGTCATTATTGTTCTAATAAGAATGTACCACACATCAAATCAGACACATTGGCCGCCGAGTACTGAACAGTGCATTGAATCTCAAGTTCAAATGCTGAAACAAACCTTTGGGTGATAGACACACTGGCAGATCACCTGGTCTCTGGATAGTGAGCACTTTGCAGCTCCTAGCTGTGACTGATCTGCAGCATTGTTTGAACAGTTGCAGGATTCACACAGCTTAGACTGAGATGCCAGTGCCTGTACTAACGCCGACGTCAGCTTTTGCACAGCGATGGGCTCGTGAATGAGGTCGATATCCCATGAAGAACCTTGCAGATCTAAGGCAAGGTCTCTGAGTAACTTTGCCACGGGAAGTTCAGTTTGAACGCTTCTTGGTTCAACAGTGTCAGGGGCAGCCGGTTGTGGATTATACTGGGGAAGTTGACCAGTCCCTTCACGTAGGGCAATTCTCCTGTCACGGTCCATGCCATAGCCTAGCATGCCATCATCGGTGTAGAAGCTCCTTCTGAGAATTGAGATGAATTGGATGTGTTGAGGTGATAGCACACTCTTCAGACCATTATAGCGTGCCATTTCATAACGCTTAGCCTGAGCCGTATCCACTTGCATGACGACAGATTCACTTGCAAAGATCATCACGCGAAGAGAGTTTGGTCGGAAATCCAGCTTCTTTAGAGTATATCTTATAATAGAAGCTGAGTGCACTCCAGCAACATCATCATTGCTTGGGTCACTGCGGGGACGACGGCGGGGGGGATCTCGCATGCCATAACGACCACCACGGCGACCTGAGGGTCTTCTGCCCGGGCCACGGGGACGACCAAAATCCTGGCTGGCACGCTGTTGTTTTAGCTTGGTCACTTCTTCATCACGTGTTGGATCATATAGCTCTGGTGGAGCAAGAAAGTGGATTTTGGTATTCAGGTGCTTGTTGATGATTGGTACTAGGCGTTTATCCACTATCTTACTGTGTCGGATGACAAGGAAGAAACCGTTAAAATGGCGGGTGTCACCAGTTGTGAAATTGCCAATGCCGGCTTTCGCCAAGTCGCGATCTACCCGCAGTGGCATGGTCAATAGTTGCTCGAAGAGTGTTTCATTACTGATGTAGTCCAGGACGAATACCACATCAGCGCGCGGATATGTCACCGGCTCATATTCACCACTGTTTTCACAAGTAGCTAGAACACAGGGAGGATTCAAAAAAAAAACCGGAATACCCCTACTTCAGCTCTTTTTGTTGTAAGATATTAACCCTTTAAGAGCCACAGGAAAATTTCAAAATTCTGCATTTTTTCGTGTTCCTTGGATCATAGCTTCAGTTCTACTCACTCAATCCTCCCAATCTAGGGCTTCCTGGAACGGTCTCTGCGAGAGGAAGAGAATGAGGTCGATCATGATAGCCAGCACATCGTCTATCCAGCGCTAGATCGCAGCGACAGTACGAAAAATGCCCCAAATGCGTCCGATTGCGTCCCGCTCCAGATATTAATTTTACTCGATCGTGGAGTTCCAATTTTTACGCTGTGTACTCTTGACAATCTCAACAGTGAAACCGTGCAAATTCAAGTAAACCAGCGTGACGAAAAGTCTAAAAATTCTCAATACCAAAGTCGCACTGCGCGCTTTTGAAATTGCCGCGATCGCGGCTCAACTTACGAGTGAATTATCTCAGGAGCCGTTGCTCGCAGCGCTTCGCGGATTGTTTCTCCCGACAGGTGAGAGTTTTCTCTTCGCCCTGGATTTTGCGATCACTTGATTTGAGCGAGATTGGACTGAGTTACGATCTTTTGAAGTTTTGTATTTGAAAATCGGTTGTGGCGACAAACGCGATTAGGCCGGCTGCAGGGACGCCGTAATGTCGCACTCGCCCCAGCACCACTCAAACAGTTCCCTTTGGCAGTTCACGGCACGAACTTCAACAAAGCCCCGTGAATGCGTACTAGGGGAAGGCTAGACAGCATGTCTCTAGACATCAATAGGCATCGTATGAAAAGCCAGTCAATAGCACTAAAGAGCGAAAGCCTTTGTCACGGTTCGGTTTCACTCGCACACCGGGCCCGAGCTGCCAGCGCAAACAAATGCCGGGCGCGAGCTGGCAGCACGAACAAACACCGTACTCACACGAGACCGCTGGGCCAACGGATGGCCACAGCCATCAAAAACAGGAACAAACCCATCCACGGCTCTTTCTCTTGCTAGCTGTGCTGCTGCGTGCATCCAACTGTTTTGCAATTTCTGCAACAGGGCTACCTCAAATGCAACAAAACCAGGCTCGTGCAGAGCCATGGAAGCAGCTACAACGAGTTGGCATACCGATATTCAGCGGTGACAAACGTACGTTTGAGTCATTCCGAGAAGCTTTCATGGCATGTGTAGATAGTGCACCCGCCACCCCTCAGTACAAGCTGTTGCAATTGAGGCAGTATTTGGCAGGAGAAGCACTGACAGCCATCGAGCGATTTGGCTACTCACCATCAGCCTATGACGTAGCTAAGAAGTTGCTAGAGCGCAAGTATGGCGGTGAGCGTCGCCGTGTGGCTTTACATATTGAACGCGCACAGCCACTTGACCACATCGATGGGTCTGCAACCAGTGGTACCTCCACGTGCACAGCCAACACTCCCAACAGTAGCAGCAGCAACAGCAGCACAGCGGGCTGGTCGAGTCTCTGTTGATGTTGTGGTGCCTGAGCGCCACATGCGCGACAGCCTGGAAACGACTGCACCAATTCTGCAAACTAGTCGGCACCAAGGTGATTACAGACACCATCATGCTGGCATTTGTAGCCTACCTGGCACGTCAACATGCCCTGTCAACCGTCCGCTTGTACGTGTCGGCGATCCGGGCAATTGCCAAAGAAAACGGCAAAGATCTCTCTTCGCGAAGAGTGGACCTCGCAGTTAAAGGAGTGGCACGTGCACAGGCCAACCGAACTAAGAACGCCAGCAAGCCAATCCTCCGGCCCCACATGGCAGCTATGCGCAACGCCCTGATTAGGTCTAATCTCAACGCTACCGACCGAGCCATGGCATGGGCAGCTATTCGCCTGGGCTTCTTCGCCTGTCTCCGGGCAAGCGAATATACTTCCACAACCGCCACAACCATGTCAGACGGGGCCTCCGAACAAATGACCTCTCCATCACGCCGCAGGCCATACAGGTCACAATCAAGAAGTCCAAGACCGACCAACTCGGCAAGGGTCACTCCGTCCGGCTCACAACCACCAACTCAACGGTTTGCCCGGTCAGAGCCATGCACACCTATCTCTCCAGACGCGCCAACCTGCCCAATAGACCACTGGTCATCGAAAGCTGTGGCAATTTCCACTGCACGGCCTCAGAGCCGGACCCGCAACCACAGGAGCATTGAGCGGCTTCACCGAATCCGAGATCATGAAACTCGGCAGAACGGCGAAGTGCCTGTTACAAGCACTATGTCCGCTGTGGAAAGTAACTGTTCACCGTCCGCAGGCGCGCAAGCGCGCACAGCCACATACACGCACCCGCATACACATACACACGCACGCACGCACGCGCACACCCACATGTATGCACACACGCATGCGTACGCGCACCCGCACTCTGACACCGTGCAAGCATGCACGCATGCACACACGCTGCGCACCCGCTGGTACGCCCACTCGCGGACGCACGCACTCACGTTCTAGCACTGACTGGCGGTGTGGGACACCCCATGCCATGGCGGTGTGGGACACCCCATGCCATGGCGGTGTGGGACACTCCATGCCATGGCGGTGTGGGACACCCCAGACCATGGCGGTGTGGGACACCCCATGCCATGGCGGTGTTGGACACCCCATGCCATGGCGGTGTGGGACACCCCATGCCATGGCGGTGTGGGACACCCCATGTGTGCACGCACGCTTCTGATACTTATGAGAAGCTATCTGCTCCACTTAGTTGCGGTGCTATTGCTCTCACCTATGGCACCATGCCACCCATAGCTTTTGCGACTGCATGCGATTCAAACCCGTATCAGTGTCACTAAGGGAATACAAACATACGAATGGCATGCATTCGAACTACATGCATGTAGCTGAAGCCCCTCGCACACCGGGCCCGAGCTGGCACCCACAGCAGAAGACACGCCATCTCCGGTGCCCGAGAGCACCTACCCCCTCTGATGTTGGAGGGTCAGGCCTACCAGTGGCTAGGCCTGTCAGCGTCCACACGTGCCACATACGCGACAGCCTGGAAACGACTGCACCAATTCTGCCAACTAGTCGGCACCAAGGTGATTACAGACACCATCATGCTGGCGTTTGTAGCCTACCTGGCGCGTCAACATGCCGCGTCAACCGTCCGCCTGTATGTGTCGGCGATCCGGGCAATTGCCAAAGAAAACGGCAAAGATCTCTCGTCGCGAAGAGTGGACCTCGCAGTTCAAGGAGTGGCACGTGCACAGGCCAACCGAACTAAAAACGCCAGTAAGCCAATCCTCCTGCCCCACATGGCAGCTATGCGCAGGGCCCTGATACGGTCTAACCTCAACGCGACCGACCGAGCCATGGTATGGGCAGCTATTTGCCTGGGCTTCTTTGCGTGTCTCCGGGCAAGTGAGTACACTTCCACAACCGCCACGACCATGTCAGACGGTGGCCTCCGAACAGAAGACCTCTCCATCACGCCGCAGGCAATACAGGTCACAATCAAGAAGTCCAAGACCGACCAACTCGGCAAGGGTCACTCCGTCCGGCTCACAACCACCAACTCAACGGTTTGCCCGGTCAAAGCCATGCATACCTATCTATCAAGACGCCCCAACCTGCCCAATAGACCACTGTTCGTTGACAGCTGTGGCAAGTTCCTAACTGCACCAAGACTCACCCGTCTAATCCGTCAGCTACTGAGCAGCGCAGGGTACCCACCTATCCAGTATTCACTGCACGGCCTCAGAGCCGGAGCCGCAACCACAGGAGCAATGAGCGGCTTCACCGAATCCGAGATCATGAAACTCGGCAGATGGCGAAGTGCCTGCTACAAGAACTATGTACGCTGTGGAAAGTAACTGTTCGCCGTCCGCAGGCGCGCAAGCGTGCACAGCCACACCCGCATACACGCACCCGCAGACACATACACACGCACGCACACACACCCACGCATGCACACACACATGCATGCACGCGTACACGCACCCACAGTCTGACACCGCACAAGCATACATGCAGGTACACACGCTGCGCACACGCTGGTACGCCCATTCGCGGACGTATGCACTCACGTTCTAGCACTGACTGTGCACGCACGCCTCTGATACTTATGATAAGTTATCTGCACCACTCTGTTGCTGTGCTATAGCTCCCACCTAGCGGTGTGGGACACCCCATGCTATGGCGGTGTGGGACACCCCAGACCATGGCGGTGTGGGACACCCCATGCCATGGCGGTGTGGGACACCCCATGCCATGGCGGTGTGGGACACCCCATGCCATGGCGGTGTGGGACACCCCATGTGTGCACGCACGCTCCGACTACATGCGATTCAAACCCTTCTCGGTGTCACTAAGGGAAAACAAACATGCGAAGGGCACGCATTTGAACTACGTACATGTAGCTGAAGCGCTTGAATACCACACTAAGGTCATTCGGCTGACCAACGCGGAATTTGGGGGCATTCGGCGGCTTGGTCTGATTCCTAGCTTGTTGGTAACCGGCTTGAGGTTTCCAAGGTTGCTATGACAACGTGCAGTCATGCGCAGGGCCACCCAACATGCGTTGGGGGCCCAGGAAAGACAGAAACGCGTTGCTAGGCAACAGCAAAAGCGCTCAGCGAGTATCACGCTACTCATGCAGCACGCACGCTGGCTTAGGGTATCACGCTACCCTTGCGCTGCGGGGTACCACATTGCCCCTCGCTGGAATCAGACCCGCGCCCCGGATACCTTGCGCTGGCCTCCTGACGGCCAAACTCAACCAACTTGCGCGCTGTGACTGGGGTTGTGCATGCCTTAGCAACATAATGTGGCCCAGGTCGGCAGACTTTCAATTAGCCAAGCGAGCTACTCAGGCCAGGGCGCATGATCACTATTCGCAGCACTTATCGTCCATGCAGCAGTCGGGTTAATGCGTCGTTTACGACGCATTCAAGTATGGGCGGCTCTTAAAGGGTTAAAAGTATTCGTACACTATGAAGTCCCCAACAAGCCGATCTGACTACATCTGGAATTGTCAAAAATGAGCCATGGGTATAACAAAGAGTACATAACCTGGTTATGTATTCTCGGTATAACATAATTCAAAATGATTTTTTTTCTGCACAGCGGAAATCGATTTACTTCAAGAATGGTCCATGTGTGCAACCCTAATACAGTACTGTCGTAGATCAACAAAATCCTTGTCACATCCTTCAGCAGTGTGTAATTACCCAGAGGGTCCCAGACCCTGCTTTGAGTCCTGGTGGTGACAGCCTTTTTTCTTCTTCAGACTTTTCCGGTTTTAACTCGTTCAAACTTATGGTAAATGTACAACCCAAAGACAATAATTTGATAACCGCAATCGATAAGACGAGCTGCATCGACACTTGTGTATACTTTATTCATGCAATGTAAAACAGTGGAGACAATGTGCAATAAAACGATGAAAGTAGGAAGAAAAGTGTAGAGGAAATAAGGATTACGCCATTGTCTAAACACCGCCCAAGAAAACTGCTATCATCGTTTTATTGCACATTGTCTCCACCATTTTGCATTGCATTAATAAAGTATACACAAAATTAATGTCGATTCAGCTTGTCTTATTGATTGAGGTATAACCCAGACATTACCTTTTTCGACGACATTGAAGCATTGTTCAGTGTCGACATAACCAGCAAAGTCTGTTCCACGACAGCTGGCACAGTACCTGCCTGCGTCAGCATTGGCTATTCTGAGCGCTACACTTGGAAAGAGAGCCAGACTTGGGTTGTTCACCACGGACCCAGTACGTGCTGCTGGCGGCCGTTTGATCCAGTTGACCGAGGTGGTGAGAGTGTCGCCGTTCAGGGACGTTGTTCGGATTACGCTGCGACATGATATCAGCAGTACGGACCTCACAGTATACTGTGGTAGTGGACTCTGGCCTGGGAACACCGCCGTGTCATTGATCGTAATCAACGGAGTTGGCAATGCTGAATCGGATGAACACACAAGCCCAGAACAACCTGCACGCATTCAGTCACTGCTGGCAATAAGAGACGGCATCCTTCGGACTCATCTAGACCGTCCTTCAGTCACTAAGTCCCTAGACCATGTGTTCAACATGCATTACACCAGTCTTATACAGGCGCGTAGCACCGCCGTTGGCGGGGGTCCGGCCAGGGGGATGTCCCCCGCGAAATTTTTTTGAAATTAGGGTGCAAAATCCTGCATTCTGGGCACTTTTGGCATTGTTTTACTATGGTGGTCATGGTCAGGCGAAAAAGTGGTCCGGCCAAAGCCGTACCGGCAGGAGCGGCTGCTACACCCCTGTTATAAGACCACCTGTATTTAAACAGATTGGCTTCAAGCGCATCATAGGATGGAAACTGATGACAGGTATGACTGTAGATCCGGTATACCTGCACATCGCATCAGCAAACAGAAATCAGCACGTACAAATCGCTATGACTTGATCGTTGTGACTTGATCGCTATGACTTGATCGCTATGACTTGATCGCTATGACTTGATCGCTATGACTTGATCGCTATGACTTGATCGCTATGACTTGATCGCTATGACTTGATCGCTATGACTTGATCGCTATGACTTGATCGCTATGACTTGATCGCTATGACTTGATCGCTATGACTTGATCGCTATGACTTGATCGCTATGACTTGATCACTATGATTTGATCACTATGACTTGATCGCTATGACTTGATCGCTATGACTTGATCACTATGACTTGATCGCTATGACTTGATCGCTATGACTTGATCGCTATGACTTGATCGCTATGACTTGATCGCTATGACTTGATCGCTATGACTTGATCGCTATGACTTGATCGCTATGACTTGATCGCTATGACTTGATCGCTATGACTTGATCGCTATGACTTGATCGCTATGACTTGATCGCTATGACTTGATCACTATGACTTGATCACTATGACTTGATCGCTATGACTTGATCGCTATGACTTGATCACTATGACTTGATCGCTATGACTTGATCGCTATGACTTGATCACTATGACTTGATCGCTATGACTTGATGGAAGGTTCCCGCTATTGGTACATGTGCCTTCCTATAGCAATGTCACAACATTTTCATTTCAAATTAATACATTATATTGTTGGCGATAATATTAGAACAAGCACGGTGGCTGTAACCAATGTCGGAGCTCATGGTTCCTCCCAACTAGCTTACACTTGACTGGACTTGCCATGTGTAGCACTTGAGAAGCATGCAGAACCTTTTCCACTTGCAATAATCTAAGTCGATGCTCTCCTTTTAGTCTGTAATATACAGTTTCTCTGACCTTGCGAGCGCATTTCTACTATGTATGCAAGCGCTTTTTTTTTTTTTTTTTTTTTTTTTTTTTTTTTTTTTTTACTAAAAAACACAGCCCTACTAATAATCAGGGGAAGAGGACAACTGAAAAAAAAATGACGCTGGACAAGACAAAGGGGAGTAGGGGCGATGTGCCGATGTGGTTGGCGAGGCTCATCCGACCGGAGGTCTCGGAATCATAGCCTACGACCAGGCATCGTTAGGAATGCAGCTAGGGAGGGAGGGAGATCAAGTGAGAAAGAGAGAGAGAGAGAGAGAGAGAGAGAGAGAGAGAGAGAGAGAGAGAGAGAGAGAGAGAGAGAGAGAGAGAGAGAGAGAGAGAGAGAGAGGGGGGGAGGGAGGGAGAGAGAGGGGGGGGAGGGAGGGAGAGAGAGAGGGAGAGGGAGAGAGAGAGAGAGAGAGAGAGAGAGAGAGAGAGAGAGAGAGAGAGAGAGAGAGAGAGAGAGAGAGAGAGAGAGAGAGAGAGAGAGAGAGAGAGAGAGAGGGGGGGGGAGAGGGAGGGAGAGAGAGAGAGAGAGAGAGAGAGAGAGAGAGAGAGAGAGAGAGAGAGAGAGAGAGAGAGAGAGAGAGAGAGAGAGAGAGAGAGAGAGAGAGAGAGAGGGGGGAGAGGGAGGGAGAGAGGGAGAGAGAGAGAGAGAGAGAGAGAGAGAGAGAGAGAGAGAGAGAGAGAGAGAGAGAGAGAGAGAGAGAGAGAGCTGGCTGGGAACTGCGTTTCCATTGACAATTAGATCCACTGTAGTGCACGTATGTGCTCCTGTCATTCTAAGCTGCACAGTGCCATATATTCATTTCATTGCTGCTGATTGCAAGTTGACAATACACTTGCACAGCAGCTCTTGCTGCGGTCCCCACTGCAGACAAGGCGCTGATGACTAATGCAAGTGTGTACGGGTATGTGTGACATGCGTGGGTGTGTGCAGTGTGGCATGGCTATGCGTGGGTGTGTGCAGTGTAGCATGGCTATGTGTGGGAATAGTGTGGTTATTTTTGTGACGGTGTGTGTACATGTATGTGTGTGTTGTGTGTGTGTGTGTGTGTGTGTGTATGTGTGTGTGTGTGTGTGTGTGTGTGTGTGTGTGTGTGTGTGTGTGTGTGTGTGTGTGTGTGTGCGTCAGGCGAAATTACTGGTCAGTCGGCGACACGCATTTTTCACAAAAAATTGCGTTTCACCTGCTGGGCCAGTATGCATGTACTCGAGTCTCATCCTGAGCACGTTTTTTTCTTCTTTTTTTCAGCTCCGGTATAGCTGTATTTTTCTTTGCAAAGCCGTCCTCGATTGTTGTGTTCGTTGTTCAAACGAAGTGGACATTCAATCATGAAGGCAGAGGACATAGGAGCCTGATTGGAGTTTCTCGTGGCATAGGACGGCCACACAGAGACACTTTGGGATTTTCTGAATATAAAATACCGTACGCACGATGCTGAGATCAATTTGTGCGATATCAAATTGTTTGTGATCTACCACATCGAGCAGAACGGGATCCAAACACAAGCTTACCGACGGTTAGGCTGCCGACCTGACTGGACAAATGATCCCTGGCTTCACCAGACGCCAGAAGTCGGACACCATGTCCTTTGCCGCGACGTCCATCTCCAAAAAGAACTCCATGTCGTGAAAAGGCTTGAAATACTCAATATTTAACCGAGATTCGCGGACTTGTGCTTTCTCGGATCGATTAATTTCCTGTTGGAACAGTTGCAGGGCAGCTTCCCGCCACTGTTTCAACAGGCGATGGCTCCAAAGCATGCCTGGAACAAGCCATATCGAGGTTGCAAGCCACCCCTCTCAGCAAAAAATTCGAAGAAATTCGAAATTTCAATGGTGGAAGATATACTATGAAGAGGATTTCAAAAAGTATGTTTCGCGGAGCGACCGCTCATGCTACGTCATTCAAACTTTGCAGGATGGTTCAGACGTACATGCTAGGCATGGAACCACAGGCGATGATGCCATAGCTGACACACAGAGTAACACACACAGCAGATTCGTGTGCACAGATACTAAATTAGTGGACGTCGTCATCTTCTTCCCGCTGATCTCGAATGTACTATGACGTGCTATTTCGCCTGACGTGTGTGTGTGTGTGTGTGTGTGTGTGTGTGTGTGTGTGTGTGTGTGTGTGTGTGTGTGTGTGTGTGTGTGTGTGTGTGTGTAGGTGTCTGTGTATGTGTGTGTGTCAGTATGTTGTGCGGTCTGTGAGCGACTCTTCGCCAGTCAAAGCGGACTTTGTCGGCACAAATGAAGGGAAGAGCGGCTGAAGCCGATCTATGAACAGTCCGGTGCTGTGTGCTGTGAAATGTGCCATCGTTGGTTTGCTACCCGAGGTGGACTTGCCCTGCACAGCTGCTCTCCCAGCCTTGGTGACGCTCCAGTTTCCGAGATAGTTGCACCTCGCCCACCTGATTGCAGCCAATGTCAGTACCACTTGCACACCTGTGACCGCTGTTTCCTGAGCAAAGCGGGGCACCGCAGAACATGCAGCTCTGGCTCCGAGCGCCGCACAACCCCATGCCTGACCTGCTCTTGGAAGTTCACACGTCCCCAGTACCTGACTCAACATAAATGCAAGAAGTAACTCTGCCCTCGTTGCCTCTTTGAGGCACTGCATCACCTTTAGGTGGCAGTCTCACGGTGTGTGTTTGTGTGTGTGTGTGTGTGTGTGTGTGTGTGTGTGTGTGTGTGTGTGTGTAGGAGGGAAACAAACAGTGAAACATCATGCATTGCTTACAGAGTGATCCATTGGCACACTTGCAGCAGTAAGAGTCACCCGAATCCTCCACAGCATCGTCATTGTCACCACATGGCAGATATTCCAATGTCCTGCGGCGTAGATAGTTCAGTGGTGATTCATACATCTCATCATCACTGCCATTCGTATACACCATACTGGTGTTCAGCGTGCAGGAATAACGTCTTGACATTCTCTTCGTTAGGTCATACGCTACCACACCAGCCAGGCTGTCCTTCCTCACTTCCGAATTGAATTGGCCAAACATGCTGTCGCTGTTCCACACGCTAGCACCAGCAGCTACAGCCATCTTAACAAATGCATTCCCGGGATAGTCGGCATCCTTGATGCGAGCTTTCTCATCTGCAATCCAGTCAAACTGCCGTTGATTGTGACTGATATCGGCAGACACCATGCCGGCTATGCCCAGTGTTTCAACGGAACGACCGAAGTTCAGGCGAGCAGATCTCAACTGTACCTTCCCAAGCACATGCACGCCGCACTTTGACAGTGCCCGAAGTACTGGATGTCCATCCAGAACCTGGTCCGTGGCACTGTTCACTTTGAGTGCTTGTTCTGAGTAGGTGGCAATGATCAGCTCACAGGAAAATCCGGAGTAGTGTTGCTCAAGGGTGTCCAAAGCAACATTAATCGCGGCACCTATCTCAATCACCAAGCTACCATTAGCATCACTTTGCTGCAAACTTAGCTCGTTGATGCTTTCCGTTGTGAACGCATTAAAATCCTCAGTGATTCGAGTTTGAGCTATTGTAGCTGACTGATTATCCGCTCCTTTTGCAAATGAAAAGAATCCAAAGCGATTCTTTCGACCTGAAGACGGCAGTCCTGTGTTAAGTGTGCTCAGGTGAGCTTCAAGGCTTCTTAGAATCTCCTTATATCCCGACAGATGGCGTGATGCATCTCTTGCGGCGGACACTTCAAACAGGATCATCACAAGACCACCGCGCACTGGCACTGGCTTGCCTAGGCTTGTTGGAAGGTACGTTCCATTAATGTCGAAGTAAGCCGTACTGAGAACACTGCTCTCACTGTCAGTCTTGCAAGCTGGACGGTTTACTAAATCAGAAGCACAACAAGAGGCGAGCTTGAGAGAGAGAGAGAGAGAGAGAGAGAGAGAGAGAGAGAGAGAGAGAGAGAGAGAGAGAGAGAGAGAGAGAGAGAGAGAGAGAGAGAGAGAGAGAGAGAGAGGGGGAAAGAGAGAGAGATAGAGAGAGAGAGAGAAAAAGAGAGAGAGTGTGTGTGTGTATGTGTGTGTGTGGGAGAGAGAGACTGTATAGGTAGTACAGGTACACATGACAATCAGATGGCTTAAATAGCCGATAGTACCACATTGTGAATTGTTAGTGACTTGGTTGCCCTACCAAGATATACGACCAGGCTTGCAGAATAGATCCCCTAGGGTAACAGCATACAGTAACACGGTAACAGCATACTTTCCAGTGGACCTGAAAAGCCTATCATGGCTGATTCTGGAGTCAGCTGTGAACTCTACATATGAACTTGGTTGAAAGACAACCAGGTACAGTTATTGGGATAAAAATCTCTCTGCTGTTGAATGGGCTATCCTTTTGCAAAATGAACATAGTTACATTCTTCGATAGAATCGGAGAAGTTCGCGGATCTTACATGCGACTGTGTCTTGACTGGGTTCCGCCAGCTTGTTATCAGAGACACATGCGTAGCGAGTTTTATCTCCAACCTGGGCAGCAACTGAGTAGCAGTTCTGAAGACAGTGAATACTGCCACCTCCGCAAAATACCAACGATGTGAATTCCCTGTAGACAGTGAGTTCCGTTGCCATCCTAGAATGTTACACCACATACACAAAAGAAGTACTCAAGAAAATTTCACGAAGAAAACTTACCCACACGTTTATGGTACATGAGGTTCTGTACTGAATAATGATGAATCAGGAAAACAAATTTTGTCTTTCAATTCCTTCATTGCATTTGTGGGGCTGTCTGACCCACAACAGTCTTGCTGAGCCAATTGCAGAACCGTTTACGGTTACACTTACTAAATGCAGGCTGACATGTCATAAATGTGTATGTGTGTGCGTGTGTGTGTGGGGGGGGGGGGGGGGGGGGGGTGCGTGTGGTTGGGTGCGTCTGTATGTGTTTGATTGTGCATGTGTGCAGTGGCATTTTTTACGGATGTGGAAACTGGGTCTGAATCTCGTGTGAACTATGACATTATTGAACGAGCATTATGGTTTCAAGTGGACTTGCATTTTTACTCCAAGGGAGTAATGGCATCAGTTATCCAACCTCAGAATAAGCTGCTATCATCCAATCCCTTACCGTTGCGTATCATAACGAGGTGGCTCAAAGACATCAGGTTTCTTTGGAACAAGTTCTGGCCTGTAATCATGTGGAATGCATAGACATCCAGGCTTCACACCATCATTCGCCATACACTCACGGTGACATGAAATCATGGCATGTCCATGTGCATGTGTGTATGCATGTATGTATGTATGTATGTATGTATGTATGTATGGATGTATGTATGCATGTATGTGTCATGACCCGGATCAGACTCGTCGTGAAAGCGACCATGCATTGAGTTCAGCAGCCAAAAGCTGGGCTCCGAAATATTCTAGAGTTCTGTAAAAACCATGATTAGTCCCGCGAAGGATTTGGCACTTTCGTTAGTTGAGCAATCATGGCTTACAACTCGTGGCCTCGAGTCACAAGTGTTGTCGTACGGCGGCTACACCTTCAGTACAAGTCGTCAGCATTGTACTCACTACACTGTTGAGCTTGAGGGGACCCTGCTTAGTCCTGCAAGGGAGCTGATACCTTTGTTAGTCGAGCAAGCATGGCACCTCTTCTCGCGTCGTACGACGTAAAGGGTCCTGCAAGTGCTTCGCGCACTGCGGACTCCGTTATCCCTTTTTGGGAGAGGTCACGGCTTGACCGTGAAGCACCCTACGGGGTAATGAGAGGGAAGAGCCTACGGGCAGGAGATGAAGGGTGACCAACGACCAAGGCAGCGTACGAAGGCGGCGTGCTCTAGCTGCAGCAACTTCTGACAGCATACTCCAGGCCCCGTCGCACGAAGAGCCTCGGAGTCCTTTCATGTAATGTGGGTGAGCGAGCTCCCCGTATTGATTGATCATTCTTTGTACTATATTCTAGTTTGGCTGATTGCACATATTGCACCACTGTTTGTAATATAGAAATAATCCTTACGCATTCTTGCCACTGTATACTTTTGATCACATAATGTAGCATATATAAGGAGCTGTTTTGCTAACATTCATCCTCGATTCTCGGGGAGCTCACTACTCCTCTCGATTCTGAGAGAGTCACTCCGACTCTCTCCTGCTTTGGTCTTTTGACTCTACACACTTGATCTTTCGATCTAGTACTGCAATGGTTCAAATAAACACTGTTCAAGTGGAATTAGAAACCTGTCGTTCTATGTGAGCTAGCAACTTGGATGGCGACTATATTGGTCGTCTACCTGGGTAGCCACTAGACTGATCTAAGCCAAGTCACAAACCCGCCCAAGCGCGGCCATGACATTTGGTGCTGTGACCAGGATCCAAGTTGCGTCTTGCTGTTGCTCCGGCAGAGTAGTCGTAACTCGGTGTGCACTGGTCCATGCTGAACTCTGAGCTCTTGTTTACTCGAGCACGCCGAGGTGTGAATTTGATGTCGATTTCACGAGGCTGCATGCAGTTCTCAAGTGGATTCGGAAGCGAACTGTTTTGTTCTGTTCTGGCCTTGGTCCGTTCAGTTGAACACTCTGTCTGAGTGCGTGCACATGGAACGTAGACTCGTTCTGTTCTGTATACATGTAGCTGTTGCTACTAGTTGGCGTGCCAATTTTGTTCCGGAAGACCTGGCGAAAGTCGGTCATGCCGCTGACGAGAGTTTCGACTCCCGCACCACTTGTTGGTCTGAGATATGTGTCAGCTGCACTCGATTCGCGGTGTAGACGGCGCATTGTTCGAACCCACAGAGGTTCTTGCAAGGACGTGCAATGAGGAAACTCTGCTGTTTTGTCAGCGCTTGCACAGAAACTGCTCGAGAAGCGAAATGCTTTTAGACTTTTAGAGTCGTCTTGCAGTGGCAGGATCGATGACTGCATGAAGCTTAGCTTCTACGTTGCCCTCAGCTGCAGTTGAGGAGTGTTGCTGTTCTTTTTGAACTTTGACGGTTCAAAAACAGTCAAGAGGACTATGTCCTTGTCGTGTGACGGAGTCACGAAGCCAGATTTCGAAACTGGGCACACCAGTCGAGATGCTGGCTGAAACGATGATACAGTAACAAGTTCTGCAGAGAGCTTGAACAACTGCTGATTTGAGTTCGTTGATGCGGATCTCGAATGTTTTGATTGGAGTGTGATGGAAATCACTAGTGAGCTGATGCCCACCTGAAACCAGCATTCTGTGTTGGACGATGCCTGTTTGGTGTCGGATATGTCGCGACGTCCGCACCCTGTGGTGTTTCGTCACGTACTGAGTATGATGTTGGTTACTGGTTCTGACATTGGACGCGATGTGCTGTCCCAATTCCTTGCGAGATCATTTCGGGTGATGGAGCATTGCATTTTAAAGCTTCTAAAGCTGATGTCGTTCCGCCAAGCCATAATGGTGATGGCAAACGAGAGCACGTTCTTCGCTTGCGGAGGCGTGAAGTGATACTCCCTTTTCGGAGGTGACGGTTAACGCCGGAAGGGTTGCCGACCTGTGCCTTGACCATACCTGATGGGTGTTTTCAAGGAATGAATGATGTCATGATGGCGCATGCGCTAGTGAGCCCTACGGTGGACGGTGTTCCCGTACGGGTGTTAAATTACTCTGACGAGGCAGTGGCTCTAGAGAGGGCAATGCAGATTGGTCGGTTGGAACCAATATCTGAAGTCATGAGTATCATGACCGAAGACACTATGGCCGATGGCCAGAGAGAGGAATCAGCTCAATTAGCTGAGACAGAGGACTCCCTCGGGGTCTGGAAGCAGTTGCGCATTGGCGCAGATTGTCCCGCTCTAACTCCCCGCGGTGGTAGTGACGAGCTGGTCTCAGTCAAGTTGCCCACTGTTGGTGGTAGGGATGAGCTGGTCTCAGTCCAGTTGCCCACTGTTGGTGGTAGTGACGAGCTGGTCTCAGTCAAGTTGCCCACTGTTGGTGGTAGGGATGAGCTGGTCTCAGTCCAGTTGCCCACTGTTGGTGGTAATGACGAGCTGGTCTCAGTCAAGTTGCCCACTGTTGGTGGTAGGGATGAGCTGGTCTCAGTCCAGTTGCCCACTGTTGGTGGTAGTGACGAGCTGGTCTCAGTCAAATTGCCCACTGTTGGTGGTAGTGACGAGCTGGTCTCAGTCAAGTTGCCCACTGTTGGTGGTAGTGACGAGCTGGTCTCAGTCAAGTTGCCCACTGTTGGTGGTAGGGATGAGCCGGACTCAATCCAGCCCACGGCGGCGGGTGGAGGAAGAGATGGACAATCTGGTATCTCCTGCGAGGAGATCCACTGCTTGCAAGCCTTAGTGCTTCGGTATCAAGATGCGTTCGCTTTGAACCCATCTGAGCTTGGTTGCACTTCGGTGCTACACCACATGATTGAGACACGTGATCGTGGTCCTGTTGCACAGGCTACTAGGCGTATGCCATTGTGTCTGTCCTTGCTGGCAGCAATGAACCTACCGTGGAAGTCTTGGCGAGGTCGCCAAGGTCTTTTGTAATGGGTGGAGTGTGGGTGGAACCGATTCGTTGGATACCACCAAATCTATGAAATGGCTCCTGGAGCTCTGCAGCAGTTTTTGTACTGAACCGGATACCTACGTGGTAGAAGGGTGTGTCGACCACACGTTATGGCCTATGGTCTACATTCATCTGAGATGACGCGAAATGGCGAACTGTCATACGTATACGCTTGCGTGAAGATGTGCAACGTGCATTTAGTTGTACATGACAAGCTGCGTGTTGATCATCAGCACCAGGCTCATCTCTACGATAGTGGAGCAGTACCAGTTTCATTTGAAGTTGGAAATTTTTTTTGATGGAAATGTCCCTCCTGTGGAGCCACATTTCGTACTCTATGCCCGTACCTGTTGCGGTGCAGAACCCGTTGGCTTGGCCAACGAGAGCTAGGCGGTTACCGTCACGACTCGCTGACTTTAATGTTAGTTGAGATCACGGGGACGTGATTCTTGAGAGGCCGGGGAATTGTCATGACCCGGATCAGACTCGTCGTGAAAGCGACCATGCATTGAGTTCAGCAGCCAAAAGCTGGGCTCCGAAATATTCTAGAGTTCTGTAAAAACCATGATTAGTCCCGCGAAGGATTTGGCACTTTCGTTAGTTGAGCAATCATGGCTTACAACTCGTGGCCTCGAGTCACAAGTGTTGTCGTACGGCGGCTACACCTTCAGTACAAGTCGTCAGCATTGTACTCACTACACTGTTGAGCTTGAGGGGACCCTGCTTAGTCCTGCAAGGGAGCTGATACCTTTGTTAGTCGAGCAAGCATGGCACCTCTTCTCGCGTCGTACGACGTAAAGGGTCCTGCAAGTGCTTCGCGCACTGCGGACTCCGTTATCCCTTTTTGGGAGAGGTCACGGCTTGACCGTGAAGCACCCTACGGGGTAATGAGAGGGAAGAGCCTACGGGCAGGAGATGAAGGGTGACCAATGACCAAGGCAGCGTACGAAGGCGGCGTGCTCTAGCTGCAGCAACTTCTGACAGCATACTCCAGGCCCCGTCGCACGAAGAGCCTCGGAGTCCTTTCATGTAATGTGGGTGAGCGAGCTCCCCGTATTGATTGATCATTCTTTGTACTATATTCTAGTTTGGCTGATTGCACATATTGCACCACTGTTTGTAATATAGAAATAATCCTTACGCATTCTTGCCACTGTATACTTTTGATCACATAATGTAGCATATATAAGGAGCTGTTTTGCTAACATTCATCCTCGATTCTCGGGGAGCTCACTACTCCTCTCGATTCTGAGAGAGTCACTCCGACTCTCTCCTGCTTTGGTCTTTTGACTCTACACACTTGATCTTTCGATCTAGTACTGCAATGGTTCAAATAAACACTGTTCAAGTGGAATTAGAAACCTGTCGTTCTATGTGAGCTAGCAACTTGGATGGCGACTATATTGGTCGTCTACCTGGGTAGCCACTAGACTGATCTAAGCCAAGTCACAAACCCGCCAAGCGCGGCCATGACATATGCATGTATGTATGTATGTATGTATGTATGGATGTATGGATGTATGTATGTATTGTATGTATGTATGTATGTATGTATGTATGTATGTATTGTATGTATTGTATGTATGTATGTATGTATGTACAGTCAAACCTCGTTAGGACAAACACCGATAAGGCGAACTTTCCATTAGTACGAACTAAGGCCAATCCTATGGTTGGCCAGGCATCAATACAAGTCAAAATTATTCGTTTATGACGAACTTCTGTACAGCGAACTTTCGCGAAGACGAACTATTTTCAAGTGTGATTTGAACAAAGTCAGTGTGGTCATGTACATGTAGTACGAACGGTCCACGAGCGTGCGCGTACGCTGGCTGCCTTTTTTCTTCTTCTTTTTTTCAATAGTCGAGGTCATATTGTACGTACAGTGCAAATTGTTTTCAAGCGTGTTTTGAACAAATCAATCAGTGCGTTGTACGAACTTTCGACACAGTCGTGATTCATTGCACTTTGTCATTGTACTTACCTGTTTCTGGCTTATGCTAAGAATAACATGCTTCCCATGTACCACAGCATGCACCTTCACGTAAATACAATCCATCTGATACTTCTTTTTGAAGTATGTATATCGATTTTTTGTCAGATCTGGATAAGAAGAACTCCCGATAAGACAAACAAATTTGTTCAGTCCCTTGAAGTTCGTCCTAACGAGGTTTGACTGTATGTATGTATGTATGTATGTACGTTGGGCTGGTTTATGGGACTCGTGTGGGTTTTCCTGCACTGCATGTTGGTAAGAGAATCGCTGAGGAGGAAAATGCCTGAGAATTGGCAAAACATACCAAAATGATGTTTCGCTTTCTAGCTTAGTAATCGAGTTCTCCAGTGAATAGAAAAAAACTTCAAAAAAGTACTGTTGAACTAATAGGTATTTATTTGTACAGTGAGAAGTACTTACCCGAACCCTGTATCTCTACTGGTCTTTGGTGTTTCTTTGAAGTGGATTCCAGGAGTCCTGAAAGTAGGCGAAGACATAAGGGGCCATCCGTAAATACCGATATATATTTTCAAACTCGGATGTTGAGCCATAAATAAATGTAGAAAGGAAAAGGACATAAGGATACGAGTTAAGAGTAACTCTCCATCACTGTAACTGGATACTATATACAGTCGGAAAGTGCAATAACTAGGCACACAACTTGGGACTGTAGCTTTTGCTCGTTTTCGTTGCGCTTGCCTTCCCCTCTTTGGTCTTTCCATAACCTTGAACCTTCCAAGTTGGAAGGCTGCCGGTTAGCGCTACGGAGATGTGTTGAAGCTAGGTGTCAGGACGTCGAATGTATCAGTACTCTTGTCAGTTGTGTGCCTAGTTATTGCACTTTCTGACTGTATATAGTATCCAGTTACAGTGATGGAGAGTTACTCTTAACTCGTATCCTTATGTCCTTTTCCTTTCTACATATATTTTCAAGATGATATTTGTTCATTTCTCCCCAGACCCCCTCGCTCCCCCCTCAAAACGAACATATGCATACGCATGTTTATGCAGGGGATCGATATTTTTTAATGAAGTGCAATCTCCTCATGGAACATGAACAATAGCAACTTCAAATTCACCGCACGCCTAGATTTCCATTGCCACGTGTGCACGGTTGCAATACCTTGCCGTGACAATATTCACAAGGTTGACTTTCACTTGTTGTAGGTCATCAACTACGTGTTTGTACAGTGCCCGTTCAGATCTAGATATCAACATTTTTTTGCAAAGAACAGACGAACAGAGAGTAACCCCCACCCCCAAAAGAACCAATATCTTCTCTAAAATATATATTGATGTTTGTGGATGACCCCTAACAAAAACTACTACCGTATTTCCCCGTAAGTAAGTTCTCCCCAATGACTTAGTACCCCCTTAAAAAAAATACACTTTCCACTGCCGAGGTTATCACCCCGAAAGACAGTTCCCCCCGAAAGATAGTAAGTTCGTACCCGTCCTACATGTACAGACACCGTACAGTACATACATCATATGCACGGACACTAGAGTTGCGCAGGCTTCCCACTGCGTGTCATTTACCCCCGATAAAAAGTACTCCCCGAAAGATAGTACCACCCCCGAAAGTTAGTACTCATGTGGCTGCTAAGTTCGAAAGTTAGTACGTACTAACTTAAGGGGAAATACGGTATTCTATATTACACTCGGATTGACATTAGGCCACCTAGAATTAATTCGTTGTTTCGGGTCACTTCACTCATCCGTACCAGGGTCGGTCGGTCGGATTTATTTTTTATTAAATTTTTATTATTTTGGTTACGGCCATGTGCATACATGTACAATTGTTCATATCGAATAGCTTTTGTCAATCAAGCCAGTCAATCAAATCTGACTGTAGACGATCCAGCGCAGCCATTGTCCCATCAGATCCAGGTCCCCTCCAGGACCAGATCTTGGCCTCGCTGGCAAACGAGTCTGACGAGTAGCTCTCACCTTGAAAACTTCTGTGAATGAGCGACGCGGTGGCCGAGCTGATGCTGTTTCAGGACCGGATCGGAGATACAAGTACATGTAGAAGACAACGTCGTCACCAAGCGCTGCATCCTGTCATTTGGCTGCTAATGAGGTCGACAACTTCAAACTTCATACTGGGCAAACGTTGACTTAGGTCCGGGATCTACAGCTTACAACTGGTACCTGTTTGCCTTCAAACTAGTCTGTCTCCATGGCCAGGCGCGTACCGTAGGTATCGGTTATAGCGTGGGTGTTTGAAAAATGGCTATCTATTCTTATGTCCGATATTTCTTACACACGATGAATCAAGTGTGACATATCAGATGCATGTGCGCAGAGATAGGATGGTCACCATACATACAACGTGTCCTTGCTATGCATGCGGGCGTTCATAGTGGCATACACTTGCCATGTGGCTATGCAGCATGAGAAACATGACAGCAACAGTTGAACCTGCAGCACTACGGTGCAATGCGAGTCGGATCAGAACTGCATTGGATAGATGTTATTACTACAGGCGATACACTTTGTACTAATCTGGTATGTTTTGCTACACAAAATCCATTTTTAGGACCGATATATTCTACTATGCGATAACATTGCTTGTATGAATAAATGTTCACTTGAAACCCATGTTATGATTATGAAAATATGAGAGGTCATTCTTGTAAGCAGAATATTCTTTTTCACGACCACGCTATAACCGATACGCACTGTGCTTGTAATTTACTTACTCAGTTTCCCCATTAGTCTACGAGTATGGATAATACGTATCAGTATTTGTACATGTAAATGTACGGGATCACATGAAGTTTTTATATGAGCTTGAGCATGCTAACACAAGTTAGCAACCAGCCCAGCAACCTGGCCCGACTTGCGTGCCAGTGCCAGTGACGCGGGCACCCCCACTTCAATATCCCACGCAATGTCTCTTGCATTGTCATTGCAGCATTGACTTTCAAGCTTGCAACTTGCAGGACATTTGAAGGGCTCCCACGGCTTCCATACATCAGTCTGCTGTGCTAAGTAGTCAGGATCACCACCACTAGCATAACTTACGTGGGACCAGGTAGGCCTACAGGTATGGGAGGCACAGGCTCAGTGGGATTCGGGCGACTGGTGGTCGGATTAGGTGGTGTGGTTCTGCACCAGAAGCAGTAAATAGAAATTCAGCAACTTGAGTTGACGAATTCAGGGCTTTCGTTGCATCAGTGGATCAGGTAACTCACGAGAGGTTGTTTTAATAGGGTTGGAAAATGAAGGGAGGTGATGTGTGCAGTTTGCTCTTGTGATCTGCTTATCTGCTATTGTGTGTGTGTGTGTTTGTATGTGTGTATATGTGTGTTTGTGTGTGTATGTGTGTGAGTCTCAGTGTGTGTGAGTGTGTGAGCACGCGTGTGAGCACATGTGCGTGTGCGTGTGTGTTTATGTGTGTGAAATCATATTTCCGTTGAACTAGTAGCACAGTCTCTCTGTCTGCATGGTTTCACCTGTGATCTGATACTCTCAGGTTGAACCTAGTTAAACCCGCCCATGTGTTCCATGTTAACCTGATAGGCTTGTCATGTTCCTGGACATGACAACTGCTGCCTGACAGTCCTGTGACAACAGGATCTTGCTAGGGAGCAGCTCTGTTCCGAGCTGTCACGCCCTTTTGGTATAGCGGCGTGGTTAGGCCAGTGGTTTGTCCCACGTGCTTGGCATGTAGGTTGAGCGACACACGCTTTCGCCACCAAGGTGTCATGCCTCCTGGGCATGACACATCATGTGACTCAACGCCGGAACCTGGTCAGGTAGGTTCTTGTGTTGTACGTTTCCTGGAAATGTGTCTCCAGGCTTTGTGCAAAACCATGTCACTGCAACGTTCTTCAGGTTTCCATGATGCCACGGCGCTTCGTGCAAAGAGCCAAGATTTGCAAGAGCTAAGTGCAATAAATGAAGAGTCAAGATGGGCGCAAGAGCCACAACCGTCACCGCGCCAGGTCAGGGTATAGCGCGAGCAGAACCAAGAATGCTGAAGAACTTACTCATAAAAAGCTGCTGAGCAGTCACACAATGGGTGAGCGTGCTCCCCAACATGGCCCTCATATACGCACATTGTATGCATGACTTAGGTGAGTTGGCTCCCCACGTCCCTTTTTGGTCTTTCTTCTCTCCATGTCTTTCATTCTCTTTCTTCTCGAATGATTACCGCACGTGTATTCTGCTTTTCTGCTGACTGGCTGCGCATTTTCCGGTTTTACCTGTTCAATATCTCCTGGAAATAGATCGTACCATTCTATCCAATGATCACACCATATCTGCAAAACGCGCTATAAAAGAACCTCTCACTCTCTTTAGTTCAGTCGAGACTCAGTCTCAGCTCTCAGTTTTAGTTTTACTTTGAGCTCGGATTTGAATTGCTACTCAAAATGTGAAACTAACAGTCTTTTGTCTGTGGTTGAACTTGGACCAAGCCAGCTATATTGGTTGGCCCCCTGGGTTGTGTTGCGCTCGTGGTGGTGCCACACGCCTATTCAGTCGCCGCTCGTGAAGACTTCTGGGTGCGGTCACTGAGCGTTAAACGAGAGAGCTTGGAAGCTCAGGGCCCTACGCTATGCTTTTTTGCCTTCATGACCTAGACAAAAAAAGCATAGGGATGTTATAAATTCTTTAAAAATTCCTTTTTTTAAGACATAACCTGGGATTCGAACCCGCACTATCGCGCGCCCTGCATGCATCCCCCGATACACTTCGCACACATACTAATTCTTCCAAGTTGTTTCACATTGTGATCTTGCATTTGAAAGCCCTATTTGAATATGCATTGTGGCCAGCCGTCTTTGATGGCATGGTACGGTAGGGGATAGGTACGGGACAGGTACGATCGAGGGTAATACGACACCGTCTCCCGTACCGTACCATACCATCAAGCACAGCTGGCCACATACAGCTGCCCGCAATATTCAAATAGGGCTTTCAAACGCAAGATAATAACGTAAAGCAACTTGGAAGAATGGGTATGAATGCGAAGTGTATGGGGGAATGCATGTAGGGCGATAGTGCGGGTTCGAATCCCAGGATATGCCTGAAAAAAAAAGGAGAATTGAAAAATTTATAACATCCTATGCTTTTTTGCCGTCAGATACGGATAGCGCCAGGCGTGACACAAACAAACAAACAAACACACAAACAAATACCAAATTAAAGCTGTGTGGACCCTGGCTAGCGCCAGATGTTACTGAAGTAACGTCTTCTGCATAGCTACGGGAATAAAGGGTTGCTTATCTCTCTATTCCTCTCTGTCTCTGTCTCTGTCTCTCTCTGTCTGTCTGTCTGTCTGTCTGTCTCTCTCTCTCTTGCTTATCCGCTCTATCAAAGTAAGGTAGCAAGAAGGTAGTGCACAAGAAGGCTCTCCCACACGTACCGCTCTGGATCATGGTCGAAGACAAATACATCTGGCCCCGCTGTAAACACTTCTGCCCTGGAAGCATGACCAACCACAGTGACATACACATGCATGGGGTCATGATGAGATCAATTCAACGGTAATGCAATTTCGGGTACTGACTACATTAATCAAAACTGTATTGATGATGTGTGCAGAGGCCGTGCAGCATTTCTGTGTATGATGTCCCTACAGGTTAGGACCGGAGTCTATGCATGCTATCATCACAAGCACTTACTGGTGGGAATCATGTTGCTGAAAAGGGACCATTGTGTGGATCTCCCTCGGCGGTCTGTAAGAGATAACATGATAAAGAATGCATTCATAAACACCTAGCTCCAGACCACAATGAACTAGTTCGGGTTGTGACCACTCTAAAGGGAATACATCCTACTGTGACTCCAAATGGGACATGGGAACTGCAAGAGCTGATGAAAAACCCCTTGTGTCATTGGTGCTGCCCTGAACATCCTAAAAAACTCTCCGTTTGGAGAATCTGTTCTCGAAAACCTTTTGCCAGCTGCTGTTGAACACTTCATGCAAATCTGGCCCGGCAAGACAACGATGGACATCTACAATTCAATGGCAGACTATTGAAGTTTGAACTGTGAGTTTTCTGCTTCAAATTATTTTTAGCTGGTTTTGTCATTTAACAGTCGACCTTCCTTGTTGCTATGGTACTTGACTTGGGTACTTCTTCGTTGCGCTCACCTTGCGCTCACCTTGCGCTCACCTTGCGCTCACTTTGCCATCTCTGGTCCTACTAGTACATTTACCATGAATCTTCGTCTCCGTCGTTGGAAGGCCGTTGGTGTGTGCATTGGAGATGCATTGGAGCTAGGTGTCAAGGCGTTGAATGTCTCAGTAGCCTGCCATTGATATCTTCAATTAGCCCCATCCCTCACACAAACAAGTCAACAAAGAGGCATCTTTGGATTGAGGAGTGCTGGTTTCGAAACAACTGGTTTGAAGCTCAAAGCAGAGCTGGTGTTAGCTCAGAGCAGAGCTGCTGTTAGCTCAGAGCAGAGCTGCTGTTAGCTCAAAGTAGAGCTGCTGTTAGCTCAAAGTAGAGCTGCGGTTAGCTCAAAGTAGAGCTGCGGTTAGTGCAAGTTTTGCGTAGCTAAAGTATGTTAACGCGGTGACGTAATGTTTTCACTGTATGCTGATGTCTATCACGCGCGTGTTCGCGCCAGCTCACGGATGCGCCGTTGTGCGCATGCGCAAACTCTCCCAGCAGCTCGCTTTGCATACGTACACCCTTCAGCAGCCTTCGTGCCTGGCTCTCTTTGTTAGTTGCATTGGCTCGCATGACTCTTGCTCCGTGTTTCGCCCCACCAGCATTCAGAGTCCATACAGTATAAAGAACTGTACGCTATTGTCATCGCAACCAGTACATGGGCGTCAGAGTGGAAGTCCCTCCGTATTGAGTTTCAGTGCGACAACTCAGCTGTTGTAGACTGCATCAAATCCGGCACCAGCAGATCGCCACCCATGATGTCTCTAGTTAGGTGTCTGTATCACCTTTGCGTTGCTCACGATTGCCTGATTTCAGCAGTGCACATCCCTGGTGTTACTAATACCATTGCCGATGCTCTTTCCCGGAATCTGTTGCAGGAATTCCGCTGCCTGGCACCCACGGCACAGCTCCATCCGGACATGCCGATCTTGCCCACACCGGACTGACCGAAGACGTGGCCAGGCTGGCGTCCCTGGCAATAGCACCGTCATCCAGGAGGACATACTCAGCTTCAGAGCGGCGGTACCTGAATTTCTGTCAGCAGCATGGCGTCGTGGCCCTGCCTGGAAGCGACGTTACGCTGTGCTACTACGCAGCCCTCCTCATGCGCACACTGCGGCCGGCCTCGGTTCGCACATATATGTCAGCCATCCGGAACTTACACGTCGAACTGGGCCTCGAGTACCCGAATCAGCCGACGTCCCTGCTGTCACGAGTGTTAAGAGGCATAGCCCGTTCGTCGGGACCTGGCCGCCCTCGTTTGCCTATCACAACACCCATCCTCCGGCAACTCTGCCAACGCCTCCAAGTTTCCTCCATGCGGCACCCAGTTGACCAGGCAATGCTGCAGTGCGCCTTCACCCTGGCCTTTTATGGCTTCCTGCGCTGTGGTGAGCTCACCTCGTTGACGTTTGGCAACGTGGCCCTGGACCAACAATCATTTCGTATCACCATCACGCTGCTGCAATCAAAGACGGACCCGGACGGTAGGGGCACGGTAGTCCACGTGGGCGGCTGTACCGATGTCATCAGCTGCCCTGTTACGGCGATGGTGCGGTACCTGACGGCAGTGTCAGCGGAGTCCCAATCTCCTAGAGATCAGCTGCTCGTCTACCACAATGGCCAGCCTCTGACACGAGCGGACGTCACGAGGGAGGTGCGCACCCTCCTACCACTTTGTGGGATTACAGATCCGTCCAGCTATGCCAGCCACTCATTCCGGATCGGAGCAGCCACGTCTGCAGCTATCGCAGGCGTACCAGAGCACGTGATCCGCCATATGGGGCGATGGCGCAGCGACGCAGTGCTGCGCTATATCCGTGTTGAGCCATCCGAGGTGCGGCTAGTATCAGAGAAGCTGGCCACAGTGAGTGACTGACCAGTAGCGCTGCACCTTGACGAATGTCTCCTCCGGTATACATACCAACTCTCAGTACCGCTATCGGTACCTAGATTTCTCGACTGCTAGCAGCTCCTGCTATACTCCTCGTTCAATGCTCGCGTTATTTCTGAGCACTGACTTATTTGGTTGGCCCACCAGGGTAACTAGCTTGGGCACTGAACTCTCAGTAGCTGGCAGCATTCTCTCTACTCTCCCGAATCACTCTATTCGGTTACTGCCCTTGGCAGGTCAGCCGCCATTTCGGTCTCACTCTCGGTCCCCGCCTCTGTCGGGTCGGCCGCCTCCATGGTTACACACTGCCAGCTCCTTCGCCCAATTACCCTGTGGTGCCAACCAACTACTGCTGTGTCTGTGTGTGGGTCGTGTATGCCTCCGCGTACGGAGCATGCGTTAATGCAAGTTTTGCGTAGCTAAAGTATGTTAACGCGGTGACGTAATGTTTTCACTGTATGCTGATGTCTATCACGCGCGTGTTCGCGCCAGCTCACGGATGCGCCGTTGTGCGCATGCGCAAACTCTCCCAGCAGCTCGCTTTGCATACGTACACCCTTCAGCAGCCTTCGTGCCTGGCTCTCTTTGTTAGTTGCATTGGCTCGCATGACTCTTGCTCCGTGTTTTCACCCACCCACCCACACCGACTTCATTGTGTTACAATTCTCATTCTGTAGCACCCCGCTTATACTACTAACCTCATTCGTCTTCCAAACTCACTCTGCTAAACAAAAACAAGCAGGGATTGGGCACTGAACTCTCAGTAGCTGGCAGCATTCTCTCTACTCTCCCGAATCACTCTATTCGGTTACTGCCCTTGGCAGGTCAGCCGCCATTTCGGTCTCACTCTCGGTCCCCGCCTCTGTCGGGTCGCCGCCTCCATGGTTACACACTGCCAGCTCCTTCGCCCAATTACCCTGTGGTGCCAACCAACTACTGCTGTGTCTGTGTGTGGGTCGTGTATGCCTCCGCGTACGGAGCATGCGTTAACTCAAAGTAGAGCTGCTGTTAGCTCAAAGTAGAGCTGCTGTTAGCTCAAAGTAGAGCTGCTGTTAGCTCAAAGTAGAGCTGCTGTTAGCTCAAGGTAGAGCTGCTGTTAGCTCAAAGTAGAGCTGCTGTTAGCTCAAAGTAGAGCTGCGGTTAGCTCAAAGTAGAGCTGCTGTTAGCTCAAAGTAGAGCTGCTGTTAGCTCAAAGTAGAGCTGCTGTTAGCTCAAAGTAGAGCTGCTGTTAGCTCAAAGTAGAGCTGCTGTTAGCTCAAAGTAGAGCTGCTGTTAGCTCAAAGTAGAGCTGCTGTTAGCTCAACGTAGAGCTGCAATGCTAAATGGATGTAATATAGCGCAAGGCAGAGCCGCAGCAAATAGCTAGATAACACCAGTTGTGAGAGTGGACCCGATTAGTGGGTATGATAATTATGACGGTGTGAATAAGTTGGATAGGGAGGATGGTGGGAAAAGAAACACTGCTGAAGCACGATCCGTTGTTTGGAAGAGCACAACAGGGCAAGCAAGATTTGTTTTTCTTTTCCGCAAAATGGGCTGGTGCCATTTGTGATTACGCAGCAAAACAAAGCGCATGACGTCAGTCTTGAATGCAGTACAAAGCAATGCAGTGCAGTGTGTGCGCTAGTTCGGATTGTTGCTAACAAGTACTAGCACAGCTAGTACACCAGTAGAGCATTATGAATGCAAGTCTTCCTCTCATTCTCTCTCTTCCTTTCCTTCTCCTTATAGTCTCGTCCATATTGCACTACACTGAGAGCTGGCCTGCTCCCGCTCTGAAGAGCTTTTTAGCCTTCACCGTTTCGCTCAAAACCCAGGCATTGGCTCACAGTGGCAGTCGCTTCCTTTTCTCTTTTCTTTTTGTTTCTCCTTTTACTTTCTCCGTCACTGCCTAAAAAACAGTCGAGATGGTTTTTTACCAACCAGTTTTTTTGGTGCGAATTACTTTCCTCTCTCTCTCCTTCTCTTTCTCCCTCCTTCTCTATCTATCTTTCCCTCCTTCTCTATCTTTTTTCCCTCAATCTCTCCCTCTCCGACTCCATCCTTCTCATCTTTCTCTCCCTACTTCTCTATCTTTCTCTCCCTCTCCCTCCGCTCTCTCTCCCTCTCTCTCACTCTCTCTCTCACACACACACATATACTCCCTCGTTCTCTCGTTCCCATACTGTCACTCTCACACACACACACACACACACACTCTTTCTCTCACACTCTCTCTCTCTCTCTCTCACGCACACACACATACACACAATCTCTCTTTTCTCTCTCTCTCTTCTCTCTCTCTCTCTCTCTCTCTCTCTCTCTCTCTCTCTCTCTCTCTCTCTCTCTCTCTCTCTCTCTCTCTCTCTCTCTCTCTCTCTCTCTCTCTCTCTCTCTCTCTCAAGACTGGACGGGGTCGTGAGGATTTCTGATTTCATCTCACTACAAAATATCTGAGCAGATTACTCCATTTGCGCCTTAAATCTTGACTGGTAATCTGGTTAAATCAAGCTCCTGCTTTCAGGCGTAAAAACCCTGTTGTATAGGCATCAGTCCTCATTTGTTGGACTTGCCTGTCTTTATGAATGTTACTTAGTACTTACTTACTCTCTCTCTCTCTCTCTCTCTCTCTCTTTCTCTGTCTGTCTGTCTCTCTGTCTCTCTCTCTGTCTCTCTGTCTCTGTCTCTCTCCCCCCCCCCCCCCCACACACACATGTTGTACATGTGGCTGCGCTTGTGTCTCTTAGTTGTACATGCGGTTGCACGTGTAGCTCTTTGTCGTACATGTGGCTGCTTTTGTGTCTCTTTGTTGTACATGCTGCTGAGTCGTGGTACATGCTGCTGCGCTGTTTTTGACTCCTGCGTACATGCGGCTGCACCGTCTTCTGTCCCTTCCGTATGCATTATTTCTCATCTCGTCCCCGTTGGTACACACTTGCTCGTCTTGTTCCCGTTGTACGCCTTCAATCTAATATATTCTGTTGTCTAGTCTTGTCTCAGTGTCAGTCGTCAGTCGTTCGTTGTCAGTGTTGGTTCTTCTTTATGAGTTCCCCAGTCGCCTACTGAAATGAAGTAGAAGAAAAAGCTCTCTCACATTGTACTGGTCATTTATTGTGTGGCGTGGCGAGGAGCGTAGAGGCAGTTCGTTCACGGTTCTCAAACCCGTGACGACACACACACACTCTCTCTCTCTCTCTCTCTCTCTCTCTTTCCTTCTCCATCTCCCTCTCTCCCACCCTTTCTTTTTCTCTCTCTCTCAGTTGGTAGATCCACACTGAACATCATTGGACTCAGCGTCCAGAAGACTACAGGTAGTGACATTTTGATTGTTAAGTCGTACTTCCCCTAACCTCCTTTCACTGTACCAGCTCGTAGGTGGTGCATTCAACATAACCGGTGTTCAGCTATCCGGTTCCTCGCCTATCCAGATATTTTTTGTGGAAACGGATGTGTGCAGTTAAGCGAGGTCTAACTGTACTAGTTGAGCAATGGGTAACCAGTGAGATAATAGCCATCGTTACTTACACGGTAAAAACTTCAGGATCAATGTGAAACGTCAGTGGCGCACTGCACCAGACACATTAATGAAATAGGTGGTGAAAACATTTAGGTTACACGAATGAGCAGATACTGTTCACATTATTGTGCATACACCCTCCCTCCCATTCACTGCCTTCTGGTTGAACACTCTTGCTTGTTGTGTCTTGCAAATTCAAATGAAATACAATGTAGAACAAGCAGCAGCAGCAGCACCAGCAGCAGAAGAAGCATCGCTGACATGCCCCAAGCAGCAGAAGGCAAGGGCTGTTCATATCATGTCAGTGTGACATGTAGAGTCCTGCTCAATTAAATCCAGTTACGTCACTCAACTTTGCGGCTTGCACCATTTTGCAGCCCAGTGTTCGCCAGTCTAGGGCTGCACAACCCCTGGCGAATGACACACTTTATTTCAGTGAGCAGGACTGTACATGAAACAACAGTGGTTAGAATACCATTGGCTAGGATACCAATGGCCAGAATCAACCATCTCTCTCTCTCTCTCTCTCTCTCTCTTTCTTTCTCTCTCTCTCTCTCTCTCTCTCTCTCTCTCTCTCTCTCTCTCTCTCTCTCTCTCTCTCTCTCTCTCTCTTCACACTGGGCCACCATCGGTAGTAAAATATTGATTGTTAGATCGTACTTCCCCTAACCTCTTTTCACTGTACCAGTGGAGTCACAGTGGAGTCACTAAATTCCATTCCCGTTGTTCACTCTTTGCCTTGCTGAGTTACTTGATACATACTAGCACTAGTTGAGCACTGGGTAACCAGTGAGATAACAGCCATCGCGACTTACACGGTATGCACACGAAGAACTTCAGGAACAAAGTGAAACGTCTGTGGCACCACAGCCCTGCACCAGACACATTACAGACAGAAATGTTGAACACGTATTTTTAAAGTTTCACAAATGAACAGATACTGTTCTCATTCTTGTGCATACACCCTCCCTCCCATACACTGCCTTCTGGTTGAGCACTCCTGCTTGTTGGGTCTTGCAAATTCAAATGAAATAGAACAAGCCACATCAGCAGCAGCGGCATAGCTGACATTTCCCATGCAGCAGAAGGCAAGAGACATCCGCATCATGTCAGTGCAACCTGTACATGCAGTAACAGTTGCTAGGATAACAGTTGCTAGGATACTAGTGGCTAGGATAACAGTGGATAGGATAACAGTGGCTAGGATAACAGTGGCTAGGATAACAGTGGCTAGGATAACAGTGGCTAGGATAACAGTGGCTAGGATAACAGTGGCTAGGATAACAGTGGCTAGGATAACAGTGGCTAGGATAACAGTTGCTAGGATAACAGTGGCTAGGATAACAGTGGCTAGGATAACAGTGGCTAGGATAACAGTTGCTAGGATAACAGTGGCTAGGATAACAGTGGCTAGGATAACAGTGGCTAGGATAACAGTTGCTAGGATACTAGTGGCTAGGATAACAGTGGCTAGGATAACAGTGGCTAGGATAACAGTGGCTAGGATAACAGTGGCTAGGATAACAGTGGCTAGGATAACAGTGGCTAGGATAAAAGTGGCTAGGATAACAGTGGCTAGGATCAAATGTCGTACTTCTGTGTTGCTCTGCAGTGCACGTACCTTACAACACCAGCACCTTTGTCGGGTTCATTCCTAGGTGGCAGCGTTGGGGCATTTTGACTGGTTCTGCATACATTTAGAGCAGATATGAATCATTGCCAATTTCTCCACTGTTTTCATGGCATAATTATTTCAACCACTTGGTGTGCTGTGTAACTTCCATACATTAAGAAGTGTTGAGACAGAACAAGGTAATAGGTGTGTGATTACTA